CAACCTAGAAGAGCCCCCGTTAATTCGGTATAATTTTGTTAATTTCCCCGGCGGACGATTCGTTCCCCTCCGATTCCTCCTGATGCACCCGTGGTTTATCCCAGAGTAAAAGCTGCAGCAAGAAAACGCTTTATCGAGTTTTAATAACAGCCTACGTTCTTACACCAAGCCCTGATGTTAAGTCCATATGTCCAGGAGCCCACTTTGGATCCTTCAACACCAAACAAATTTCACGCTAATCGCGCTTTGAAATCGGGATAATGGCGGGTCCGCGATAAAGGAGCGTTCTTGCGAAATGGCCTTGACGCCGCAACCATCAAGGCCAAGTCACACGGTTCGTTCGCATCTGTTGGCTGCACTTCGGTGTCACGAGTCTCTCCAAGTAATTGCTGCTTGGCGCGGGTACATCGCGATTGACCTTCGGCTCCTTGTTTCCAGATAGGAGACCAATCATCGTTATCATGGAAATTGTCGCTTTTTAAGTACATTCTTGCGACATCGTTAGGACAGGTTGCTGAGATATTGGTGGCATTTCTCCCTCAAGGGTTATCCCACCCATTCGAAGTCTGGCTATTAGACTATCTCTGGATACTGAAATTTCTTCGACTCGTATTAAAACATAAAAATATAAAAGTAAGTAACGTGGTGCAAAAAGAAAGATGCAGACGATCTCTGGATACTGAAATTTCTTCGGCTGGTATTAAAACATAAAAACATAAAAATAAGTAACGTGGTGCAAAATGCAAGATGCAGACGATCTCTGGATACTGAAATTTCTTCGGCTCGTATTAAAACATTAAAACATAAAAACAAGTAATGTTGTGCAAAAAGCAAGCAAATTTGATGGAAATTTTGCATTACTTTGTCTATCTGGATTCGCCACAATGCATCCAAATTTTTATACCACAAGTCGATGCAACATGCAAATTTGAATGGTGATTTAAAGGAAATTAGTAGTAAAAGTACACACCAAATTGCAGCCAAATTTGTATACCACACGTCGATAGAACATGCAAATTTGAATGGTGATTTAAAGGAAATTAGTAGTAAAAGTACACACCAAATTGTAGCCAAATTTGTATACCACACGTCGATAGAACATGCAAATTTGAATGGTGATTTAAAAAAAATTGGTAGTCAAGGTCAAAAGTATACGCCAAATTGTAGCTAAATTTGTATACCACAAGTCGATGCAACATGCAAATTTGAATGGTAATTTAAAGGAAATTAGTAGTAAAAGTACACACCAAATTGCAACCAAATTTATATGCCACACGTCGATGCAACATATAAATTTGAATGGTGATTTAAAGGAAATTAGTAGTCAAGGTCAAAAGTATACGCCAAATTGAAGCCAAATTTGTATACCACAAGTCGATGCAACATGCAAATTTGAATGGTAATTTAAAGAAAATTAGTAGTAAAAGTACACAGCAAATTTCAGCCAAATTTGTATGCAACATGCAAATTTGAATGGTGATTTAAAGGAAATTAGTAGCAAAAGTATGTGCATAGTCAGTCGTAGTTTCGGAGAGGGTAGCTGGAAGTTTGCTCGGAGGCGACGAGAGCGTCGACTGTCGCTTGGCTAGCTATCGGTCCTCGCTCTCCTTCTTTCACCAAAGGAGTTCGGGACGGCTTTCGATTGAGAAATATCGTTGGCAATGGCCATCGATCGAAATCACCGATCAGCCAAAGTCACTCGTCCCGACTTTACCCAAGGATCGAGCGTCCCGCTCGGTCGCGGGATATATTTCTCCCGTGGATTTTTCTCCCTCGAACCTAACACGTACGTCCTCTCGAGCGCGGTGAAGAGTCTTGCATGTGCACAAAGCTATACGTCATGTCGACCCGTTTAATGGGCTTTTAATACCGTTTTACGACTTACACGCACACCAGCGAAATACCCCGGAGGAGGGCGACGCTGCCGATCCGCATTGCGGCGATTTACTTCGACAATCCGTGGAGATTGGGCAGCCTCCGTAATTTCGACTCATGGAGAACTCTTCGCGAGAAGTACTTCGGTCATCATTTCTCTTAAAAAAATCAATTTCACGCCGGGTGTGAAACGAAAGTTCTTCTTGCGTCGTCATGTAACTGCGAGTATGATGAAAGTGAAGGAGGGTCAAGAAAGCAGGGAACAAAACCCGAGTTAAAAATCTTTGTTTCATATTAGCCTCATGAATGTTTCGGGTTGATGAATAAGTTTCTGCCGTTTTAATTACGATACGTCGCTTTAGAAACGGCGGGAACTTATTCCTCAACCTAATACTTAGGTATTGAAAAGCAATACGAGAATTTAAGATGAAATTACCGCCAAATACATTTTTTTTTAGGTATTAATGGTATCGATCGTCTACGCTTTTCCATCTCATCGAAAGGTTGAATACTTCGGTACACAATTCTTCTAAAATCAACATGTGTGCTAAGTTCCCTAAGTTTTAGAATTAAATATTTGGCGGGCTCCTAAAACAGAAAAACGTAGTTTTTCAAAAAAATAATGAATCGGACTTATAAACGTTTCACAAATCTTCTATTAATCCTGAAAGCTTCGGCACTTCGTCATCAAACAATCCTAGTAGCACAAAATATTTGTCCTACATTTTCTATATATTTAACGAATATCGTACATCTTGTATATATTTAGCAGACATTTGAAATATTTGCAAAACGTTTACTTTAGAATATTACCTCTATAATATTTATATACTTTTAGCTTTAGCGTTAGCTCCATGTGCTTACATAATATTTTTTTATCAGAGATACAAAACATTTCGTCTCATTTTGATACAAGTATTTTTTAAATATTATCTGCCGAATGCATAAGCATAAACATATAATAAAAATACATATAATTTGGTATCAAAAAACACGACAACTTTTTGCAATATCTTCGTTAGGCTATTTCATTGTGGTAGCAAAACATATTAAATATTTTTAAAACGTTTATAATGTATTCGGCAGATAATATTTAAAAAATACTTATATTAAAATGAAACGAAATGTTTTGTGTATCAATAAGAAAAATATTACAAAAAGACGTGGAGGTAATATTATACAAATTTTATAAAAATAGTACTCTAATGTAAATGTTTTGCAAATATTTCAAATGTCTGCTAAATATTTACAAAATGTTCGATATTTGTTAAATATATATATGAAATATGCGACAAATATTTTGTGCTACTAGGGCTGTATGTAGGCTGACTCTTTCATATCACCTTAAATACCTGGTCCTAATTAGGGATAGATATTTGCAGCGATGACAGTTACTAAATACAAACACGCTCATCTCTTATCTAATTACATGCCCAGTCATGTTTAAATTGCATCGTAATACACTCTACTTACATACGCAGTCATGTGTTTATATTGCATTATAATGCACTTATGAATATAGAACACAATCGCGTCTATGTAAAAGAAGTCCCCTTTCATTATGCTAGATAACGACATATGGAAGTCAAGAATCATTTTGTTGGAAAGTGCATTGTTCTTTTAATCGGTAAAATTTACGCTAATAAGGAGGAAGCTAATTCTAAGTACAGTGCAACGATGTGCCTTTAATAGACACTGAGTGGTATTGCGTTCAGGTTTATCTCACAAAAGATGCTCCTGACCATCGAACGTATTTACGGTCGAGCAATTTTGTTATACTACAATCATTATATCTCGGATGGTGATGCTTTACTGCCCGGTTATTACGTTCACCACTTATTAAAAACGTATTAGCTGTTATTGGTACTAATTCCATGGCGTCATCATGGTTTTACGGTTGATGGCGAAAATGTCTCGCTGGATGATGCGGTTTCTGTAATTTACATTTTTCCCTAATTTCGTTGACTTCCATTTTTCCAAGGTTAATAAATTATTTATGCAGCACATCGTGTCGAAATACAGCCGCGTCTTGAAAGTGTTTAAATTAGGTTAAAAAATGGATGCGTAGCTGCCATGCGAGCTGATAGTAAAAAATCTTTGTTTACTTCTACGTCACTCTAAATGTCAATAATTAACTGACAGAATAGCGTCCTAACACTGACGAAAACGTTTTCATGTGTTGCCTAAATACAAACATAGAACGCTAAATATAAATAGCCAATAAATGAAAGAATAAAATAAAATAAGTGCTCCACTTTTTGCTACGCTCCACACATTTCTTAATGAATTCTCTGTATGTTGTATTAACATATGAACGTATTAACGTATTATGATATGAATGTATTAACATGAGAACATAAAATAGCGTGACAAAAGAGTTGTCACTTTAAAAACAGAATCCCCTCAAAACACCTTCGGTGTACAAAAATTTAGCCAAATGCATTTATCGTTATTCAATTAATTGCAAAAATAGTTCACATCGCTCCCTTCCCATGAAAAGCTCAAATCAAACATTTTTGCCAAATATAGTAGAACATTCATTCCGTTAAAGTCTCAGCTTATATCTTTTCGTCAAATGTCACAGTACATTTGGTCTCGCGTATGTTGCATGTACAAGATTTTCTACTTTCTTAAACCGAAGACACATATTAAAAATTATATCGAAACAAATAAAAAAATTTGAAACTAAATTTGAAAACAATATTTTAGTGCTCGGCAAATAAAATATTGCTTTCAAAATTAGTTTCTAATTTCTTTATTTGTTTCGATATAGATTTTAATATTTTTCTTCGGTTTGAGGAAGCAGAAAATCTTGTACATGCTACATACGTGAAACCAAATGTACTGTGACATTTGGCAAAAAGATTTTAGCTTGGATTTCATATTGATCGTACTACGATAGCTCAACGTCATTTTGGTTCCAGTCTGAAATAAGTAAAAACATTTTCTTTTTGGAATATGTAACTTTTCAAAGTGTCTGGAAATTTCTTAAATGCTGTCGACTCATTTTCTACAATTCCAAAGAGTTCGGTGCAATACCCTTCAAAAGAAGTATTTTATTCAAAACAACTAAGTTGAGGAAGGTTTCACTTCATCTTAAATATCGATATCAAATAAAGAGTAAACGGTTTCCAACGGTGTACTGATTTCACGTATCATGATTATTTCGCTTAACTATTATATAGAGATACCATTTATAGTACTGTTATTAAAAGTGAAATAACCGTTCTTGTTACATTTGTGAAAACTTTTTCCTTTTCAGGAATTACATCATTCATGTTTTATTATCGACCAAGGAAAATAGCGCAAATATTTTCTTATTCAATACTGGCAGGGCGAACTAATAGTTTCGCATATCACATTTCATGAGTATCATTATTTGTCAGAAGTGGGAGACGTGGTTATAACAGTTGGTACAAAGCCGTAAGGTGGCGTACAACCTCTAGTGCTGCCCTCTTCGCTCTTTCCGGACGATCCTGCTGCTTTTCTGGCTGGTTTGGAGGAATTGCCCAATTGCATCACAAATTTAATTTCCTCCATTAGCAACTTCACAAAAGAAATCTGTAAAATACAGTTGTATATATTATTGCAATATCAGGTCAGCAGAACATACAAATCGACTAATAATTCATATATATGGTACATAGAAAAAATCCTACAATATTCATTACATATGTTCATATATGTAGGTTTTGTACTTTATTTAGATACAATTCCTATGTAAGAAAAATATGCGGGTATACGTTTGAAAAAGGATCGCGTAGGTCAATTAGTCGATCCGTCTTCTGAGCGCGTCCGAGTTCGACTGTCTTCCAAAAAATGGTTTTCGCATTCCATCGTTTCACATTCCGCGTCCCCCTTTCGCCCCCCTAGGCTTCTCGAGAGAGCAGCCGCGGCGGACTCGGGCAGCGAGAATTCTCACATACTACTCATCTTGACTAAAAAATCCTCCGATCCTACATATATAGATGTACCATTGTAATTATAACAAAAATTTTTATACTCGCATTTACGATTTCTGGTACTTTTAACGATCGAGGTCACAGTCGTAACTCTTAAATCGTAGTACATGTATTGTCATTTTATTTGTACCTTCCGATTTTACATTTACAGCATTGGTAGGTTAATTATACATGAAAAGGGATATGTTAAAGTTACCAGGGCCGCTGGACGGTTTAAGGGGATGTGAAAGTGGCATCCGAGAGGTTGATCGTTCATGAAATTTGTCTCGGAACTGGGTGTACCGAATTCTTTCAAACTTTACAACGTGAATATGGAGGCTATAAGGAAGTCCGTAAACTTTCATTCTTAATGAAAAATTAAAAAATATCTATAATCAAATTTTTAAACAATTCAAATTTCATAGGTGAAACGATGAATTATGAAATTTGTCTTCGAATTGGGTGTATCGAATCGTTTCAAACTTTACAACGTGAATATGGAGGCTATAAGGAAGGTCCTGACGTCCGTAAACTTTCATTCTTAATGAAAAATTAAAAAATATCTGTATTCGAATTTTTAAACAATTCAAATTTCATGGGTGAAATGATGAATCATGAAATTTGTCTTCGAATTGGGTGTATCGAATCGTTTCAAACTTTACAACGTCAATATGGAGGCTATAAGGAAGGTCCTGACGTCCGTAAACTTTCATTCTTAATGAAAAATTAAAAAATACCCATAATCAAATTTTTAAACAATTCAATTTTAATGGGTGAAACGATGAATCATGAAATTTGTCTTCGAATTGGGTGTATCGAATCGTTTCAAAGTTTACAACGTGCACAAGGAGGCTATAAGGAAGGCCCTGACGCTCATGAAATTTCATCTTTATAAAAAATGTTGAAAATATCTATTAACAAGTTTTAAAGAACTTAAAATTTTATGGATGTCAGGACCTTCCTTATAGCCTCCATATTCACATTTCCAAGTTTGAAACGATTCGGTACATCCAGTTCGGAAAAAAGTTTCATAAACGTGACCTCTTTGACGCCACTTTCACATCACCTTAAGGCTAGGATCCACGAGCAAGCAAAACTTGCGAGAGCTGCTCTCAGACAGTTCTTGCCTAACTTTAGCAAGAAATGTCGCAAGTTACTCGCACGTGGACACGAGCTTTTACAGGCGTAAATTGCAATGAAAATGGTGCAATGTACAATCGTATTACGTTAAAATCCATCTCTTTCCTCGACTAGGAACGCATGGAAACCCTAACGCGAAAAAGCTAATGGTTCCATATAAACATCTTTTTAGTATATGGAAAAAAAACATTCCTAGCAGAACGTTTAATTTGATACGCATTAAACGTTCATTTCACTATTTTCTGTTGATTTCGAATGCGAATGAAACGTGAGTTATTGTCTGCATTGTTATGATATGTCATGTGTTGTGGCGATATAACATGGCAATGATGACGATGGCGATGTTATGTTATGATAAGGGTGATATCATTACGTTAGTAAATCGAGGAAAGTAAGAGGATTTCCGGTTCGCAATGATCCTCTGCGCCTGCAGGGATTGCAAACCCAACTCGACTGGGACGTGAGTCGAAGAGGTCACCGGAAGAAAAGAAAGGTTGTAGAATCGGCCATGCTGGGCATACACCCTCGCAACCGGCGCATGTAAATGCACTCACGTTCTCCTTGTACGCTGCACATCCTACGTCCCAGAGCAATTCCGTGATGCTGAATAGGCAGGACAAAGCGACTCCTACCACCAGCACCAGAAAGACACCACCTACATTGTCCAGTCCAAGCGGGTTGGTCTCGCCGCCGCGTGACGTCTCCTGCAGAGAACAACAAGAAACCTCTGCTAGTGTCCTTCGTCTTTGAACGGCCAACTTTACTGCAGGCTCGCTCAAGTGCAAAGATGCACGAATCCAAGCGGACCTCCGGAAAGTTCCCAAGGATCTTTCGGGAACTGCTTGAATGGCTGAATAAGCGTAACTGCTATTTCCTTACATCGTGTTGCTTCGCGAAGAGTATTCGGCGAAGCAATGTGCTCAAGAAAATTGTTATCCCCAAAAACATTCTTCGGAAAACTCTTCTCTAGTTTCAGACCGTACTTCCTACCCATCGAATCGTCTTCATTCTCCGAACCCTTAAGCGGAGTTCTTTAGCGTCGCGTCGTCGCGGGCCATTGTCGGATTTTTGGCGACAATGACCACCTACGGTCAGCCCATGTGCACTCCACCTCTTTGGGGTTTTCTGGGGAAAAAACTAACCGAAGTGGCCCTTGGCTTTTCGGGTGGTCCCTTGACTCCAGCGCGTATTTCGACAACCAATGAACGTTCAAATTTTGGAATTTAGGCGTCCGCATGCAGAGGGCCACGAACCTTTGAATGAAATCTACGAGACATCTTAAAAAATCTGTCGCTCGAGATATTTAACAAAGAGTACAAGAAATATTTAAAAATTATTCTGTGCTACTAAACAGCTTCTTTGTCTATTTGTATGTAAAAGACGATGTCCTGACTGACTGAGTGACTGATCATCAACGCTCTACCCAAACCGCTCAAGATAGACATGTGAAATTTGGGTAACCGTATTCCTTTCGTAGCATAGTTACTCACTAAGGCGAGAATTTTCGAAATTCTTTCTCTAAGAGTGAGAAAAGGAAGAAAATGTGTTTTTAAAAATTTCTTAATATCTTTGAATCCCACTGAAACTTCGACTTGGTTTTCATTTTGGCAAGAGAAAGAATGTACGAGGGCGAAGTGCTCGATGAATGGAAAAATGTGCAACGATGTAAATTTTCTGAATAAACTGAGCTGGTTTCGTTGAATTTACTCGAATCCAACGTCGAATCGAATCACTCGTTGAAACTAGTTGTCATACATGCATACGAATCTCAATATTGTACATATACATGATACCGAACGTATATACAAAACTATAGTCCCAAGAATATCGAAAATCGTTTTCTTCCTGCAACGGGTGACAAAAAGAAAATCAATGGGACACAAAATCATGACAATAATTACGTCTAACCAAGGCTATAACCACGTTGGTAAATGGGCTCCTAATGCAGTCGCAACGATACAAGTGACGTCCGAGTGTTACAAAAAATTCAGTTGGACGCGTTGGGAAAAGAATCAGCCAAATCGGATGGAAAGTAACAAAGTTGGAGAAGCATCGCAACGGACTCGTAAGTGAGAGTATCAGAAAATCAGGGTGACAAAGAACTCGTTACAAAACAATGAGAGGCAAATTTTGACTGACTCCCAGCCATAAGACATATTCATGTCAAAAAGAAAATTGTTTCGGATATATGTGGCGTCGACTAAGTCACGAAGGTAGAGATATTTGACAGATTTTGAACAATCAGGAAAAAAACGATATTTAACACGCAGATATGTCGGATCAATGTCCAGAAAAGCAAGGGCAATACATTGCCCTTGGACGAGACGGTAACTCGAAATTAATATTAAATTATATGTGGGCACTCGTTACTACGAACATAACATATACCCCATCTCTTGCCGTTCTCTTATACTTGACAACGATATGTACTGCTGGAGTCATCTCCAGTGGGATCTCTTAATTGAGTACACTGGGAGACATCAATGCCCTCCCATCCTGCACAGGCGATGCCGTATCTGCAGGGGAGGCATTTATGTCCGCCATTGTACACTGGGAGACATCAATGCCCTCCCATCCTGCACAGGCGATGCCGTATCCGCAGGGGAGGCATTCATGTCCGCCATTGTACAGTACGTCTTACACACACATCCAGGGCAGCTGGTTAAATATAGCATCCACATTTTTTGTTTATAACGGTTCCACCGAGCCATTCATCTTCTTCTTGTGCCCGTGCATGATATGATTTATTCAAGTGGATAACCGGTGCAGCGACCACTGCCGTTTTCTTGGTTCAAGGCCACTTGTGACAAAATCCCAGGAAAAAGTGTAGCATGCGTGTCGCGATGTCGCGTCGAGCATATTCGATGGCATCCCCGTGGCGTCATGCATGAGCACACGCCTCTCGGCAATAAGTAAGCGTTATGTCGGCAGATGCAAGACACTTTTTTCTCGGTTCGAAGGTTCGGCATGGATTTCCACTCGGTGTGGTCTACGGCGTCCGTGTCGGCGCGTCTGATCTTTTGTGCCTCTCTGAGAATCGCGAAAGCGCTTCATCTCGGAGTTGGAAACGAAAGGTCCTTGGGTGCTCCTGCGGAAATACTAGTTACGGCTCCAGCGACTGGCCTTAAAAGCCACGGTCTGGAAAACGCGGCGTGAGTCACTTTGAAGACAGAACTAATGGGAACAATGCTGATTACTCGAAAATGCGCCAGAGCACCCAATGAACTGAAATTTGTGGAACGCACGTTTCACACAAATATTAACGTGGTGGGAGAGGTGGGGTAAATGTAAAAAGTAAACGATTATTCCCGCACGGTTGTTTTCTCTACATTAACGTGATATGAAAGTTTGATATATACGTATCAATAAATCGAAATATTTCTATTACTTTTCCCCAAACTGGGTGCACCGAATTATCTGAAACTTTAACACGTGATTGTGGAGGCTCTAAGGGAGAACGCGCGGCCCGTGAAATTTCATTTTTCGAGATAAATATATCTTCTCTTGGTTCTTGTCTGAGATAAGGACAAAATGTTTTTCGAAGAAAGAAATTTCACGAGTAGTGCATTATTCCTTAGGGCCTCCATAATCATGTATTAAAGTTTCAGATAATTCGGTACACCCAGTTTGGAGAACAGTTTTCTAAATATTTGAACTTTTTCTTTTGTATATATCACCCTTTCATATCACCTTAAGGCAATATGAAAGGCATCGAGAAACTTATTATAGTTGTCATTGGTGGAAAGAAATTCTTTATTTTGCCCAGCCTCACGGGAAGAACGATTTCGATCGTATTTTTCGACCGATCGAGCTGAACGGGTGTTCATTTTGAAGATAAAATGTTGAGTTGTGATTATAGTGGAGCGATTTTCGATAAGTAGTCATTTTCATGTAAAAGAGTGTAGCGACATAATTTCGATGCACTTTTAACTAGGAAGGAGTTACTTGATCGAAAATCGCTCACATATATACCCCTGTCAACATTTCATCTTTAAGACGAGCACATGTTGAACTCGATCGATTGAGATATCGATTGAGATAGTTTTATCTTCAAAATGAACACCCGTTCATTTTGAAGATAAAATGTTGAGTTGAGATTATAGTGGAGCGATTTTCGATAAGTGGTCATTTTCATGTAAAAAAGTGTAGCGACATATTTTGGATGCACTTTTACCTAGGAAGGAGTTGCTTGATCGAAAATCGCTCACATACATACCCCTGTCAACATTTCATCTTTAAGACGAGCACATGTTGATTCGATAATCTAGGTTTAGAGAAAATTTTCCTTCGTAATGTTATTGTGAAAAGGATCAATATTTAATGAAATACGTACTAAGCATTTTCCTCCTCCCCGCTTTTCGTGCCACCACCTCGTCTTCAATTTCGTTAATATACCATCCTCCTGCAATTTCAGCACTGCTTTGCTTAGTGCGTTGCGGTAAGGAGAATCTGTAATTTTACACGATTAAAATGTTTAAAAATTAAAAAGTGAAACGAGGAACATTTTATTCGTATTTTATTCGTTCGGCAATAATTTTCGCGTCCACCTTGTATTAAAAAAATAATGGTGATTTTCCTCAGTATTCATCTTCATTTTCAAATAAATATCAATGGTCGTAATATATAATATATAAGGTAATGACCCGTGCGAACAATTTTGAGGAAGCGTGTCTATGTATCCGACGGTTTATTTGTAATTTCGCAAAATTAATTTCATTTGTTCTTTCCATTAAATGTTGCTGCCTAGTTGCTACAATTTCTTTGCCATTCAAATAGTTGACGCATGAACAAGGGAAACTTACTTTTCTTCATAGCAATCCCGTAACCCTTTGAATCCAAGGGTTCTCCGACCTGTGTTACGTTGCATTCTCTGTCCTGAACATATTCAATCGATGACGACTCCATAAAAAACGCGTAGCCTCCATCCAATACTTTATTGATACCCTCGTCATTGGTTTTGGTCAGCACCTCGGCAGCATTTTCCTTCATGTATTGGTACATCTTTTGGTAGATGGGATCTTCGGAGTCCTTGGAAGTGCCATAGTTCTTGCAAAGTACTGAATTAGAGTAGCCGTTCTCGACCAAATTAAATTTGTGGTTAGTAGCAAAAGCTATACGATTATCATGAATCTAATTCACCAGCTAATGAATTAATTAACAACAGGGTTCATTTATTAAATACAAATTGTGGAGTTATTCGGACAGAGACCAGCACATGAAGAGAATCTGTAATAGCACTATCTAACAATAAGATGCAGCTGGAATGTCAAGCCAGCAATCACATAAGACACATCTTGGAATATTACACTTTTTTATGCAAGGCCTAGCTAGGATATTCTAAATTGGGTCAGTAAAGTGAGAATCGGGCAAAATTACATCGAATGAATACATTGAGAAAGTGTGCTCATTGAACACAATTGTCTGCTGAAAATGACTAAGGAACACCGCTAATATGGTAGTTGCAAACACCGTTGCTAAATTTAAGAAAGTTAACTTGACTACAATTTTATAGTTACAAATTACCAAAATATTCGGTTATGATAGCTAATCTTATTCAGTTGTATGAACCGATGCACTTTGTTGTGGTGTGCAAATTCGGGAATACGGTTTGGTAAGAGTCAAGTTCATAACGGAAGTGACGAGGAAGACGATCGGATTGCACGGCAGTTCCTTTTTCATGAACTAAGTTTGGTGTCGGAGAGAGCTCGAAAACGACAACATTGTGATTGGGGGTGATCGCGAGTTATATATTAACATTTCAGCTAATTCGTGGAATACTTTTTAAAGAGTGTCTTACTCGAATTGACTAATTTAAGAATTTCACATCACCTTAATCAGAAAAAGTTATCTCGAATACACGGCCAAATCCAAACCAGAATCTACATTAGCAATGGCCGGGAACATTTAAGTAGGAATCCTAACTAGAGCCAGGCTACTATCCGACATTTCCTAATTAGTTTCTCTACGCGAAAATTAGAATGTGACAGGCTATAAAAATGTAACATGTCTCATAACTAACAAGTGATGAGTAATGTATAAATAAGCAAGTTATTGTTGCGGTTTTTCACGACCTGTTTCACTGCAACCATTGCTACTCCGGAATGCAATTATTTTGCGAGCAACTATATACATGCAATATATGCATTCTGTTCTATTTTGGGGTTCTGAGGCGTCATATGCCTTGTTTCTCTATCAACACGGTCTTGTAGTAAAAAAATAGGCTCAGCTGGACACAACATACCAAGAATATGACACAATCAATTAGTTAAGAATACTTTGGATATTTCTTTGAAAGTCCGGTTCCACCGTCATGACATTCTAAACATTTAATGTGACGTACTGCAATGTCAGTGGTCACAGCAGTTGGAAGAGAAGCTGTTTTCACAATCTCTCCAATGCTAGTAAATGTTGATTGACATATGTATTTGAAATATTTGAAATAACTTAAAAAGTCACTTACCCTGAAGAACGCGTAGGTGGAACCACCGGACTTGGCACCATACTTAATGACGTTCTGATTAGCCAGGTCTTGGGCGCTTTTAATCGGCGTTTCGAGAGTTTCGAATGTCAGAAATGCAGCCAAATTTGCAGTGTACGATGCAACCATGATTAAACAGAAGAACCACCAGGAGCCCGCCATCATCCTCGTCGAGATACCTCTAAAGAGAAGCGTGAAGTTTCAATAAAAGAAACAAAGGACACCACTTATGAATTGGAAAATACATTGTTATAAGTATCACAATGTTGGCCTGATAGTCACTAAATACGCCTCCTTCATAAATGTAGTCCTATATGAGCCGCTCAGTGCACACATCGACTAACTCCACTTTATGAAAAATCTTAAATTTAGGTGTCAAAGCACTTGGTATAGTCATAACTTTTTATATTTATAATATCTTTCCTGATTAATAGAGATTAACACCATTAAACGGCAACATTTTTTTGGGCATTGAATAATAAGTAATTTATTTTAGAAGCCATTTTGATTAACTCCATACTCTAATGTAAATCGTAGAAGAATACCTAGCAGTATAGTATTATTGGATTATCTGTTGCGGCCGTACATCGACGCTTTTTTTTTTAAACAGCCAAAGATGCTTTCCCCCTTTCAACAATATGAGTAATAAAATCGCATCAGCAAACAGATAGAAAGAAGCGCAATGCAGACGGTAATTGGTATAACAGTGATCTCTCACGCTGAATCTTACTGTATACTTCACCAATATTACACGGACTACATATTTTTTGGTCTTTTCAACATTACTCCCTGATTGTTTTTAAAGAACTAAATATTATACCGTTATAATCAAGATGAGTGAAACTAATAACAATGTGGATGTGGAAAGCAATGATGGTTCTTCAATACGGTTTATCAGCAGAAAGTCTGGGGCAAGAAGACGTTTATCGTGTTTTTCGGATTCATCTGATTGCAACGGTACAAATCCCCCAACAAACGCATCGATTGGGAGGAAAAGAAGTCGTAATCCTGACAAATGGGCACGAAATTTACAAAAGCATAACGGAACAAAAGGTTTGGCATACAGGAATAGGGGAGGAAATTTAATACCTGCCAAAACATTTGTCGATATAAAATGCAGACGATTATTTTTTGGCTATTCTTTCTTATTAATTTTATATACCGTTGGATGAAAACTATAACTGTATTTATGTATTCTACATTATATATTTGAAGTTATGTTATAATATGAATTTTAAAAAAGAATCTACATTACTTCATCGCATTTCTCAACTTTTTGTTTTATGGAGTTAATCAATGTGTGCACTGAGCGGCTCATATAAGAAAAAATCGGTCTGTGGCCGCCATGCACGTTGGTAGTGAAATTTCCACATTAATGAAAGTTATTAATTACTGCTCTTTCATGAAATGTCCTCACATATTCGATACTGGTTGTTATGGGCACAAAAATGCAAACAAGCAAGGATGAATATAAACAATAATTGTCTGTTAAATTAACTGACAATGACGGAATAACGCACTGACACTAATGAAAACGTTTACGCAGATTGTTTCAATACTTGTTCTGTTGCGCCATAAACGTAATTATTGTTCCTGTCTTCATGGCGTAAATCTGGAACTTCGCGATTTTCAATTAAATTCGTGAATACAACAATAACGCGGTACCAAACGCCAAGTCAATATTGTTCGATTGTTTTAAAATTCGAAGACCTTAGTGAAGTTGCTCTTAAAGATCGTATACGTAATTTCAGTACATTTTCTGTACCAAGTTTCTATCTATCTTTGCTTTGGCGGGTCTGGAATGAACACGTGGATCGAAAATTTCATAACATTTGATTTGTTTTTCAGGATTAAACTATAATAGCGTTTTTGCTCTGTCTAATATATAATAATACACCCTAGACATGTATGAACCTAATAATGTGTCATTTTATTACCTTCGCATGTAGAACATGAAACAAACTTTTGCGGGATGTTTATTCTAAAAATATTGTTCTCAGCTAGTATTTTCAAAGACTTTAACATTGTTTTCTTGCAAGATTACAATCAGGTAATGAATGGTTCTCTTTACACCCCGAATGTGTTTTTGGTGGGTGATATTAACTAGGAAGGTGCGATATGCAAATGATCTTTGCCACCGTGATATAATACCCACTTTCCTACGAAGCATTTTTTATCTTCTGTACCGTGGTCAATTTTTCTCTGATATTAAGTGGTAATAACGGTACTAATTTGAGACATTTATCAGCTCGAGGGAAACACCATTTCACAGCATCGACTTTTTAAAGTAAAACTTCTTAAGGCACTGCAATACGTTTAAGTTCCCACGTGATGTAAGGCGAACGTATTGAAAAATGCTTTTTTCACAGATAATCGCTACTTACATTAATCTTTAAGCTACAGAATTGACACAATTTGTGTAAACGTGTCCGTTAATATTATTTAATTTAATTTTGTTGTCCAAGAAGCGAATCAACTGATATGGCCATCTTGATATTAAATTACCGCTCATTATCATACGTATCTTATTCAAAATTCTTCGTTTCGCAGGCAATTACTAGTTACAATCATTTTTATGTATTAGAATTAAGACAAAATGAGTGAATATTTTCGCTAGTGTTTGTGCGTTATTTTCCCAATTAAGGATCTAGTAAAGCCACGATAGCCTTATTGAATTTCGACGTCAGAGACGAAGAAATCGCGTAAAATTCCCAGTCGGTTCGCCTACAAAATGAAAAACATTTGCTAACAAGAATCACTACGCGAAGATAGGTATTCACGAAATATGTCAACCGGTCAGCTGATATGGCCAACTTGACACTAAAATTACCGCTCATTATCATGCGTATCTTATTCAAAATTCTTCGTTTCGCAGGCAATTACTAGTTACAATCATTTTTATGTATTAGAATTGAGACAAATCGTGTGACCATTTTCGTTAGTGTTTATGCATTATTTTCTCAATTAAGGGGCTAGTAAAGCCACGATAGCCTTATTGAATTTTGACGTCAGATACGAAGAAATCGCGTGAAATTCCTAGGCGGTTCGCCTCCAAAATGAAAAACATTTGCTAACAAGAATCACGACGCGAAGAAAGTAGGTATTCCCGAAATATGTCAACCGAGTAAAAATCGAGTAAAATTCCCAGTCGGTTCACGTACAAAATGAAAAACATTTGCTAACAAGAATCACGACGCGAAAAAAGTAGGTATTCACGAAATATGTCAACCGGTCAGTTTATGACGGATCGTGCACTTCCAAACGAGATATCACTCTCCGAAAATTGGCCTGTTGACGAAGTTAGGAGGTTTCCGAGGTGACAATTCGACAATGAACACTATTTCAATGCCTGACACGTTTTATATATCCACTGATCACTCACATTTGATCAAAAGCGTTAAAATTGTAGTCAAATACCAATTGGAAATTTCACGCATTTTCCTCACCTCTGACATTAAAATTTAATATGACCAACCTGACTTTACCCTTAAATTTACGGTCAATTACTATTCATATTCATCTTTCGGCGTTAGTATTGTTTTGGCAGAAGCAACCACTACCGGATGCGTAAGGGTCTTTCATTGAAGAATAATAAAGAATAATCTCTACGTAGTATAACACCCACACTGAACAAATATAATTATTATACGTGCATAAGATTTCTGATATATGCGTTCATATGTATAGTAGACGTATATAAAAGTATATCAAAAGGCCTGGGATATGTACAAATGTCTGCATCATCTGTATATTGTATGCGCATTTCTGAACATTCTGCAGACATGTCATATACATCCCACCCTGAGAAGTATGTATATTATACGTATGTAAAATATTTGGCACACGTATGTACCGTATGTACGTAATATACCGTACCGTATGTACCGTAGATGCAGATAAAATATCTGACATAGGCATACGTACGTATAATAGACGTATAAAGATTTATGAAATGTATGTGAATATATACGTATATGAAATATATATGTGTTATACGTATGTGGCAAATAAATTTTTCTTTCCTTAATATATATGCAACTTGCGTATGTTAGATGTCTTTTGCATGTGCAATACTGTAGATACAAGTGCATGTTAAATAGAAATATATTATACGTTTCTATATGTATTTAATTGTTGAAAATGTGAATGTCTAGTAACGTATATAAAATACATACATTATATGAGTATTTTTACTTTCTGAGATTCATAACCATTCCACCATTACATATATGTATATCAGAAATTTTGTTCCGTGCAGAATAACGTCCTCGGCAGTTGTCTGTCAGTACATTTGAACGGGTTAGTCTAGTTAATAACATTCCTTTTTAACTAAGAAGTCTCTTTTCTAACATACATGGCGGACACGCACCAACTTTTTACTTTCATGCGATAAGAAACAATCTAAATCGAATGAAAGAACAAACATGGGAGCAATTTCGGATCCTTGCTGCATGATGCTTCCGATGGTGAACCACAGCGAATTCTTCAGAGTGAATTGATTCTCCAGCTCTTCCGGTTCGTCGACACAAGGGTACGGATTGTTCCATTCGGCTGGACACAGCCGACCGATCACAAAGAGCAGCAATGAGACCAATATGTACGACACGATGAGGTAGAGCCAAACGTCGTTGGAAAACGGCGACAGGAAGGAGAACAAGCTCGGTGGGGACTTTGTCGCTTTCTTGAAAAGAATACTGATGCCTGGGGATGAACATTATATCACGCGTGTTAGCTTATAAGCTACCTGCAGATAGTACTGACGAATGTTCACCAGTTCTGGCAAAAAGTGTAAAACCAAGGCCTGATTATGATTGCAAAGCCAAGACCAAAACTGGTAGTACTGAAGAATATTCACCAGTTCTGGCAAAAAGTGCAAAACCAAGGCCTGATTATAATTGCAAAGCCAAGAGCAAAACTGGTAGTACTGAAGAATGTTCACCAGTTCTGGCAAAAAGTGCAAAACCAAGGCCTGATTATGATTGCAAAGCCAAGACCAAAACTCCACCACGCAAGACCACTGCTCGACCGAGCAAGGCCTAGACTATAGTAGTCTTGGTCTTGCTCTTGCAGTTGCTCATCGCTAACAAGTATACCGGTCGTTAAATACCTAAGTTCATAAACGGCAAGGTGAAGTCTACCGCACTCTCGCGATCAGCGGTGATCGTCAGATCCGTAATTCCGAGGTCTCCTTCCTGGAAATAAAAGTTTTCACTTCAGTAAGCTCCTACTCCGCAAGAGCGAAGGGTGCTAATGCGTACTAAGCATGTAATTAGAGGTACCTGTGAATTAACTTATGGCGTCAGAACTTTCTCCAAGGGAGTTCTTCTAACAGGATTATTGAAACGGATACTTAGACAACTTGTGTCTACCGATAATCTCATTGTCGACTGAAGGGGTGAGGGAAAGGAAAAGAGCGTGTGCGTGTGTTTCGCCTTTTCATATTCAATTTACCTAAGCATCGCATTGAGATTAATATACGTATATCTAAACTATTAAGAATACTTATAATATATGGACCGCTCATTGAGTGCCGCTCGCAGATCGCTGAGAGAAAGAGAACTATGGCAATCGAGTCTACGGATTTCTGCGCTGGTCGCATGCGCAGTAAGTTCTTGGCAGTTGATTGACAGCAATATACATATTCACATACGCAAATTACTTCACTGCACAGTCCTGTTGCACAGACATGCGTAGACCCTATCGCCAACGTCCTCGTTCTCTCACCGTTCTGTTAGACCCATTCAGAGCTATATTCAAGTATAGGGAGGGAGCGGCCCATCAAGACTCTCGGTAGTGTTTCGAGCCAAATACATTTTTGAGCGAGAAGCTCATAGGGTTGAGTGATGCGATATACTATACGTCTCCGTTCTGTTAGACCCATTCAGAGCCATATTCAAGTATAGGAAGAGAGCGGTACATCAAGACTCTCGGTAGTGTTTCGAGCCAAATACATTTTTGAGAGAGAAGCTCGTAGGGTTGAGTGATGCGATATACTATACGTCTCCGTTCTGTAGACCCATTCAGAGCCATGTTCAAGTATAGAGAGGGAGCGATCCATCAAGACTCTCGGTAGTGTTTCGAGCCAAATACATTTTTGAGCGCGAAGCTCGTAGGGTTGAGTGACGCGATATACTATACGTCTCCGTTCTGTTAAACCCATTCAGAGCCATATTCAAGTATAGGGAGAGAGCGGTCCATCATGACTCCCGGTAGTGTTTCGTGCCAAATACATTTTTGAGCGAGAAGCTCGTAGGGTTGAGTGATGCGATATGCTATACGTCCATGGTTTTCACTGACTTCCGAGTGAATAGCTCCTCGGATCGAGCAGACCGCTGGTGGCATCCTACCGACATTGTCTTTTAACACCCTGGGGATTTCCAGAGTCGTCGTGGAGGTTCTCGGTCAAGAACCTTTCGAAGCGATCGCAAAGCAGCTGGGGAGGAAAGGGGGGTAAACGTTTCACCATGACTAGCCTCGAAGGACTCTCTTGTCATGGCTCGACATTAATCGTGAATCCAAAAAAAAAAGATGGAGTCTGGATAATGCGAGCCTGTAGATCTCAGGTGCGTCCAACTTTTTCTGCTGCTTCTCGAGAAAGATCGATTTCACGGGCTTCCCAGACTTCGTGACGCTGCAAATTGCGAATGGAGATCTTAATACACCTCACACGATCCCTCGGAACGTGATAGGATAAACGGTAATAGCGAGGAGGATTATCGCCGTATCGCTATTATCGACCCTGTCGATAAGCCGATGGAGAAAACGAGGAAGAGTCGTTGCTCGATGGAGACTCGTATAGCGCGACGGCTGCTGAGCCGATAAGGATCGCAGAAGTATAATTCTCGTGGAGGCGGAAAGATAGCAGCACCCTGCAGCGTCGCTTGGCATCGACTCGCGCAATTCAAAGAATTCTCATTGTCTAACCGGTGTAATAATGTTATTAAGAATCTCTAGGAAACTCTTAGAATTCGGTATTCTGGACAACAGTGGGTACGATTGGAATCGGTATTTCAATGAAATAATAAAATGCTCATCTTTTAAAGAAGTGGATATGTTGCACGACATTGCTGGCCGGTAAAATTGCAACACCAAGCACTAAAAATAAGCAATTAATTAGACAATAACGTTATTAAGAATCTCTAGGAAACTCTTAGATTTCGGTATTCTGTACAACAGTGGGTACGATTGGAATCGGTTTTTCAATGAAATAATAAAATGCTCATCTTTTAAAGAAGTGGATATGTTGCACGACACTGCTGGCCGGTAAAATTGCAACACCAAACAGTAAAAATAGGAAATTAATCAGATAATAACGTTATTAAGAATCTCTAGGAAATAATGGAAACTTCATCTGCGTCGTTCCATAATTTTGCCAAGTAAATTTCATTGAAACAATTCCACGTTTATATTATAATTCAACGTGATATGCATGAAGTTGAATATTCTATAGTTATATGCATTCAATGTATCATGCTCAATAAAACTTGCGTTTTATGTGCGTAACTGATACGATCGTTGTTTAAATTATCTCCAGAGAGTTCTTCAAAACATTGCTGCGTCAGTACACGTGCATACAGGTAGAAATAAAGACGTTCTACTAACACCCTGCATTATCTTAAGCATCATTCCGTCCCATTGGCCGGTCCTTTTATTAAGGGATCCATAATTATCGTTGCCCCTGTGATCAAACGTGTAATTGAAGTGCAGCATTTTACTGAGCTCCTCGATGATGTCAACGGCGAAACCCTCGTATCGGTCGTTGCCAGACATTGTTTTTTCCGATTCCTTCAGCATTCCGTAAGGATGCGCCTGGAGAACAGAAACAATTTATGACAGTATTGGATTTACCAAAAATTCTTACAAGAAAATATAAAGATGTTCATTTCTTAAATTTGACAAAGAGTGGCGGAGGTACGTCAAAAGGTTAACTGACAGGTTATAGAAACGGAAAATATGCATGACTGACTGAAGGTGCAATTCAATTAATAATAATAAATGTCAAATTTCTGTTGTTAATCATTTTTGTCAATCAATTCATCAATACATAAAAACTCTTTTGTTAATGTCGCAAGACTTTTCAGCCAATCCAACATCATCGATGACCACGTAGAATGGAAGATCGAATAATTACTAACAACGCTAAGTATTACATATAAATGAAAACATCGAAGAAGGACGACTTATTTATTTAAAATAAGAAAATATAAAGATATGTTCATTTCTTAAATTTGACAAAGACTAGTAGAGATACGTCAAAAGGTTAACCGACAGGTTATAGAAATGTGAAATATGTATGACTGATTGAAGTTGTAATTCAATTAATAAAAATAAATGTCAAATTTCTGTTGTTAATGTCGCAAGACTTTTCAGCCAATCCAACATCATCGATGACCACGTAGAATGGAAGATCGAATAATTACTAACAACGCTAAGTATTACACATAAATGGAAACGTCAGAGAAAAACACCTTATTTATTTGTCAATGTTATTACAGTTGTGTGCGTGTTATTTACAAAAGGTTATGCAAATGAGCTGCAGCGGTCGTTTATTAATTCTCGTCACCGTCCGTACCATGAACCGAACTTTCCATGAAGTTCACATTTTTTCAGCTGGCTAGAGAAAAACAGCGAACTTTTTTACCGAGATGATTAATGAGTTAGTAACAAGAAAGGGTTTAGTGTTCACCAGACCAGAGGGAATTTTTAATTTCTAAAACAATAGTGAGCTGTAATCATTAGGGGGTTCAACATTTTCTACATTTTACAATTATCAACTTTTAATTATTTTTAATTGATGACCATCACGACCCCCGAATATCTGCGAATGTAACAGTATGTATATCACAAAAGATGGAATTATATCCCTTTGAGAGATTTCAAACATATTCAGAAATCTATAAAACCTGAATTATTAACAAGTGTTAAAAGCAAATTACTTTTATTATTTCTTGCTAGAATTGTTTCATTGCAAAACTTTATGTCTTCCGAATTAGTTGACCGCTAATATTTTCTTTGATCTGTTACACTAAACACGAAGATTATTAGGAATGGGTAATGATGAAGTAATATGTTTGTCTGACATAAGTTTCATGCATGAAATGAACAATACTACATTCACAGTGGGATACGTACCAATGAAATCAAAACAACGAAGGTCTTGTTTTGCAAACTTTGTTCCGAGGGATCCTCTGGGATTACAGTTTTATGTATCCACTCGATCCCATTGGAGCTGTTCCACGTTCCAACTTTATCTAAACCTTGTTGAGTAACTTGCATTATGTCTAAATGAAAATTGCTTCGAAATCCAGACGTGTCGAATTTGATCAAACCAGTCAAACCTTTCATTTCGCCCTGAAACATACAGAAACATTTTGAAGGCCCAAGGAAACGCCATTCGCGCAACTACTTCTCTCGATTGATCCTCCACATACCCATTGTTGCTTTAAATAAAATAATAACGTATGGAGCGTCGATAGCCCATCCGCGTTAATTGTTAGCATAAATTTAATCATTTTGTAATCACTCGAGTCAAGGCCCATGGAAACTCGAGGTCCTTCCCACGTGTACCGAAGGACCCGAGCCATCCTCGAAAGGGGGGAAATAAATTTGAGTCCGAGCATTCCCAAAGGGTCTCTTTTCGAGGGTTTTCGTCTAAGGTACGGGACGACGTCTGGCGAACAGATTTTTTAACTTTCGAAAAATTCTGAAATCCGCTTCTGGCGACCAAACGTCGCTCGAGGGTTTTTTCCGCAAATCCGCGGCTTACGTGACCGGCCGTTTCGTGAGTGCCTTCGAGGGTGGAAACCCTTCGAGAATTTGTCCCTGCCAATGAGAATGCTCGACTCAAGTCCGACGTCCTCCCTCCACCGAGTTGGAGGGAGAACTATGCACTCGGATATTTTTTAAGACTTTTTATAAAGATCAGATACCAACCGAAAGTTGCCGGGACAACATCGGATCTCACAGAGTTCGCTGCCGAGTCAACGGAGAACTTAATCCTTTCGTTGCCGAGTCAACGTAAGCGCGAAGATCAATTGCCGAGTCAACTGATCACCGTCTGTCGGCAATGTTCGTACGATCGCGAAAGCCAACGAAGGAGAGCGAGATGCCGGGTGCGAACTGATTTAACAGATAATAATTTATTAACAACCGCAATGGATAAGAGAGGATAACAATCAAAATCTAGACTAAAACCGAAACGGTACAATCCTTTTTACGTTAACAAAGTATTGATCAAGTTCGTAATACGCGATCGAGCGGTGAGAAAAAGTATCTATTCTCGCGGGAAATGTTCGTTGGTTGAAGCGTGAGAGAAATCAGACTTTCCCCGGAGGAAAGATGGTACAGAGGCGCTTCAGGATGCTGGAATCGGGGGAGGAGATTTTAAGGAACGTCGTCGAGAATAGGTCAAGACAAAATTTGGATGCATTTACAAGGAGCGATGATTGGCAGCAGGGTAGTGAGAAGGGGAAAAGTTTATGCACTTTTGAGTCGTAGGTCGGGAAAACAAAAATGGGCTAAACGACCGCGGTGACAGAGGAGTACTCGATGGTACGAGTCGATGATTTGGAGTTTAAGATTTAACAAATGAGCTCAAGAGGTAAATTTACGTGACAAGAAGAAAATGAAGAGAGTCTCGGGATAACGCGAGACATGTGCGGAGCTGACAGAAAACAGACGCGGAGTCGAAAGAGAGGAACACCCAGACCGCTGGGAAAGAATGCCCTGCCCCGGGGGTTCGAGGGTCGCCTCTTACCCTTACCGGACGGGCAGGCGCCAGGGTGTCCGAAGGTTCGGCTGGACCGCTCTACTGTCTCCGTTACTCGATTTGATTTGTTAATAGCTCATTGTTTTTCACCTATTGATCTGAACACCGTCGTAAAATCACGCAATGTTCCTTGCCCGTAAAAGAAATATAGTCTATTGTGTTACCAAAATCCGGAATATATTTATTCTAAACGCGGAACCAGCTGCTGGCGGTTAATTCCCCCTTCAGCAAGACACTATCCGAGCCTGTCTTCTCCAGCCCGAGGATTTAAGACCCTCGGGGATTGACTGACAATCGCGAGCTGTTTAGTGTCGCAGAACAACGTAACAGTGCCTCACCTTTGTGGTGAACACCGTTAATATATCGTGCAGTTCTTACCAGTCTCATGAAATTGCTCAAACTGAACCCGTGTTCCCAACTTTGGGAGCCATCGCAGGACAGTTGCTTCACGTCACCCTCAACGGCATCTTGTAGTTGCTTAAGAGCTTGATAAAACAGTTGCACCGCGTCATACATCAACGCCGGCTCCGCACGTAACTGAGTGGGTGATTCCAATTCCCAGTCTGAAGCATAGTTTCCGAAAATGTCTTGAACAACTGGATCTCCAGGATCTATTAAACGTACCCCGGTAATGTTTACTTCGGAATACTGGTAAGGTTCTATATCGATGGCTTGCAGATCCTGGCGGAAAAGGAGCTTAATCGTGCTACTAGATAACGCAAGTGGACAACACTTTTGTAGACTTCAAGTCGATTCAGGCTACGAGAGGACCTTACCAAATTCGTTATGATGTACTTGTATCTATCCGACATGATTCCTACTTGTTGGGCCTGGATCAAGACCTCTGGCAAGATCTCATAACTGCAATCTAGGATGATGTCGAAATCGGTAGATTTTTTCACCATGCGGAGTACGCTTCTGTTGGTAGAAACATTTCACTTATTTATACTGGACAGTTTTATAATAAATTATTTTTCTCCCAGCAGAATTTATTTTACAATCTACAGATCATGATTGTGTGATATGAAAGGGTCATTCTATACATATGAAACGTCAAAATATTTGTAATACTTTTCTCCAATATGGGTGCACCGAATCATTTGAAACTTTAACACGTGATTATGCAAGTCCTGAGGAAGAACGTGGCGCTCCAGAAATTTAATAAAAAAAATATGTATTCTCAGTTTTAGTCTGGGCTAAATAACAGAATTGTTAACAAAAATTAAATTTCATGAGAAAAGAATAGAATTTCACGAGTTTCAAGACTTACCTTAAGGCGTCCTTATTCATGTGGTGAAATTTGAGATGGATCGGTAGATCCAATTCAGAGAAAATTTTCATAAACGATTTGACTCCTCAGACGCCAGTTTCATATCACCTTAAGATAATGTGAAAATGGCGTCAAAAAGGTCTCATCTATGAAACTTATTTCCGAACAGGATGTACCGAATCATTTAAACCTTACAATGTGAATATATAAACTATAAGGAAGGTCCTGAGGCCCATGCAATTTCAATTTGAACATAATTTGTTTACAGCCATTTACCAAATTTTTGATGAAAAATGAAATTTCGTGAGTTTTAGGGTCTCCTTATTAATGTGGTAAAATTTGAAACAAATTAGTGCACCCACTTCGGAAAATACTTTCACGAACGATTGACCCCTTAGATACCACTTTCACGTCTCCTTAAAGGGTCCGTAATTGTATCTGTACCAAGTTCTACAGCTCTTATGTAGTAGACGAAATGGAAATCAAAGTCACAGTGAACTGTATATGTACCTGAAGTCTGGACCTTTACCCAATCGTCGAAGTGTGACAATATTTCCTGTATTGCTCCATCGCTGAAGTAACATACGCATACGCGTTAAACTATCACCATCCTCGTATAATAGTGTAAAACTTTTCCAATGGAAGTCTTTAATAATCCGGTAGAATACCTGAATACAAGGCATGGTTACTACCTTTCCTTTTACCGGTAAATATTATAATTTATACATCTTTTCAAGTTATGGTAGAACAAAAATTTGAAAATTTAAGTAAACTGAATTATTGCATCTTTTGGACCACTAAGAATGTGTATGCCTTTATCATGTCGCAGTACCATGCAATAGTCATTACTTCGTTAGGCATCGTAGAAAGATTGGTATACGTTCTTGTGCAGTATCATATGAAAACTGACAATTTGATTTCATATAATCAGGAATACATACTGTAGAATATGTGTCAGCATGTGGATACAAATTGATTGCTTTTCCCCGAGCTGGTTCGGGATCCCATCTTACTGCAATGTGAGGAACTTCCATTGTGTCACACATGCTCTGAACATGTCCTGCGCTTGTTTTATCCTGGGGTCCGAAAATTCCAGCAACGCCTGTGCCGAGGAGCTCGCATACTATAATTAAAAAACTATTTAAACAAATTCTAATGGAATTTTTTTATCTGGACTGAAAGATAATTCCTAGGGATTTTAAGCTTCCACGAGCGTCGTTGTTCCTTGGGACGGAATGGCTTCTGAGTGAAAGCCGTGTTTGTTGTGTCTATTATCCGACGTTTCATCAACCTTGCATTGGCATCATCAGGACTACAAACGCTGATGTGATGACGTCTGCGTGTAGGAAAGTGTCTTTCATATTCAAAGAGGATAACTTGACTGACTCTCATCATCTCTGAATTTTAAAACTTCCAAACAAAGCTATCCCACCTTAAAAACACCCTATGTATGAATGGATGAAGAGGACAATACATCCAACACACCAAGAAGGAGCAAGACGAACAAACCCCGTCCAACAAAGATTTTCCACAATTCTTTCATACGTTCAGAATATTTCTGACTGCTTCAGCAGATTATTAAATTCCTTTGTTAGCCCTGCCACTGGACAGCAAAAATCCTCTATAGAAGGCCCGACCTGAGGTGCATAGGATCGGAGGGGGAATTACGAGCCAACCATGAACCTCCTCAATGGCGTTGGTTATGCAACGCTGGGGCCCTCTGAAGAACAACCCTAATTATGACACGTGAACCTGAAAAGCGGCCTAGTGTTTGCTTCATCATATCAAAGATTAAGTCCCTACAAATATTGACACTCAGACAGATCAGCACACTGTAAGTTCGCTGATTAGGACCATGTCTGATTCGTCTAATGTGGCATAATGGAAAGAAGTACCCGCGACAGAATGGCCAATGACGATTGGGGTGGTTATCTACAGTCTTGTCCCACCAATTGGCTGGTGTGACCGCCACGATGAACTCCGAACCGTAGAAGACTCCTCGCCCCTAGAGTTACCGGCGGGGTAAACGTGTGTAGGGCTCTGTAGGCGGGCCACGGGCGCCTGAGGAGCTGGCGGTAGGTACGTCCCTCTTCAACCGATCTGCCACTAATGAGAGCGCAAAGACGTTCTGGGGTCCGATGAGTACAGGAGTTTTTCATGACATTGAATCGACCTTGACCTCAGGGCGCTTCCTAAACCTAAAAATCACCTGCCCCGCCTAGTGGGCGCTGCACGAATTTCACGTTAAACGGACGTTGGGCTATCAGCGGAAACAGCAGGGTGCAAGGTGTCATTCCACTATATGGGGCGTTGGCATCTATTACGTCCCTAGCCGTCAAGACGCTTCTCAAGGCTTGTTGGTCTGGGGGATTCAAAATTTTCTGGATTCGTCACCCTGAGGGGGGGGGGGGGGGGCTGTTGGTAGATATTTCTGAGACTCAGAAAACCGATGCCGCTGATAATGCTCCTAGCAGGGATAGGCACAGTCCGGAGAAGTCCCCTGTGCAGAATACACAATTGTTATTCCTACCACTGAGAAAGACCTCAGTTGTCAGGAATCCCTTCCGCCCAACCTGCATGGCCTTCCAAAAACCCACAAGACGAACACTCCTTTCCGCCCTGTAGTATCAGTCTTTATCTCCCCCACACCCACTCGAACTTTCGTGGTCAAACAATTACTATTTCTCACCAGCAAATCCATCACCGCGGTCCAAACTCCATAGATTTTATCCAAAGAATCCACCAAATTAGAACCCAAACCAACGACATACGTGTCAACTTTAGCGTAGTGTCTCACTTCACCAACGTTCCAATCCTAGACACGATAGAACTCATACTATAGTACAACAAATCCCACCAGATTCGATCCCATTGATCCAACACCGCCTAACCTCCAGGAAACCAGGTATTTCTCGTGTCAAAGGGAATTTCACTAACCTAAATTTGCTAATCAAATTTAAAGGAGAAAGCTGATTGACGGACCCCCATAGGTGCAACCTGATTGGAAGACCACCAATCTCTACCACAGGTGATGCGTCTGCTTATGCTTCCCATTTTTTGTCAAACAAGCAACGCATAATTTTTGCATTTCAACGAATAGAACGAAACTATACACAGGAGAGTAAAACGAGGAACTGAGAACTAGAGACAAGAAACGCGACCACCTCAGTCCTCCATTTGAAAATTAGGATCTTTGTGTGACGAAAACACTTAAGGATCGGGCAACAGTGTTCTTTTGGATAATCTAGATCAGCAACAATATCCCCAACGCTGCGTGCGACTTGCATAAAAAAAATGTTAAAACGTAATAACTTGATATCATTGGCTTACCTATCTGAGATGCCTCGAAAACGTCCGTTTCAATTGTTCGCGATTCAGGTATGAGAGATGGATATGAAAACTCTCTGTTCTCGCGTCGATCTCTGTTCACCGACTTTACTGAAGCTTCAAATGCTTTTTTGATAATGTCATCCTGGTCGAAGAGACCGCCTGTGGTAATTTCATATTATCAATATGGTTTTTATGTCTCTAAAAATGCATGTTCCGGTGCAGCTCGGAAAATGGAGTATGTAAAGTATATAAATACTTCGTAACGGATCAAAGATTTAACTTACCTATGTGGACTTTTTTCAAAAATCCCGTGACGCAAGGCAGCACCGCCACCAAAAGCAATTTAATTAACATCTTATGATCATTCTGAAAACATGTACAGTGTGTTCTTTTATAAAATATAAAACAAGCAGTTTGGAGAAAACAAAAAACATATTAATTAGCAAAATTTTATGTGCTACGAACATACATAAATGAACATAGCAAAAGCCGTGTGATTATAACTTAAATAGTTTGTCACTATCTCATAATTGTTACGATTTGATATTACAAGATTAGTTTATTTCACTAACACGATATTCAATTTGGCTTTACATAATTCTTAATTGAACAGGCAAGTGTGCAGTAAAAAAACTTAATTCAATTCATTGTAACAATAATTTGTCTGTACTTAAACGTATTAATGGTAAGTTCAATGTATATCACACATTCAGATTCAAAGATGATCCAATATTAAGTTCATAATTAACATTAGTTAATATTAGAATAAAACTGATAAGTTCAATGTATATCACACATTCAAATTCAAAGATGTTCCAATATTAAGTTCATAATTAACATTAGTTAATATTAGAATAAAACCGATGAGTTCATTGTATATCACACAATCAGATTCAAAGGTGTTTCAATATTAAGTTTCTCGCAAAAAACGTGATCTTCATCTAGAATACTTAAAGCAAAAGTTAATAGATATTTTTTAAGAACTATCGATGAATTTCCATCAATCTCACGATGACGGCGTATTTTTTTAGAAGCCTGGACAACATGGTTATTTGGAGAGACAAGTTTAAATAAACATGTACCTCCAGAAGACGGATATCTGGACCTAAACGTTTCCGATCGTTAAGTTTTACGAATCCAAACGAACACTTAATAGTTCGGCAGTCTTTAACTAATGCAAATGTTTGCACTTATCCTCTTGACGCAAATATTTATGTCTACGCAGGGTATCGCCATCTTTATGCGTGTTTCTAATAGATAACTGCAAATAAAGATAATAATAAAGAAAATTCTTGAGATTATTTAGATTATTATTATGCGAAATTGAACCTGTGTAAAACAAGTTTTTAATAAAAGTTGCTTCCTTCTTTCATACAATACAATGTTACAAAACATAAATCAGGTTTTCATATAAAAAAAACTACAACTGGCTCTGAAATAACCTTGAAAATTACTTTAAAATAAATAATTAATATTATAGTTATTCTTCCTATTCGAAATGGACAAAATTTTCATTGACACTTTTCCTGCTTAAAATGCCCTTAAATTGCTTCGCTCATCAAATGTATCGGTGATTCAAGTTTAAATGTCCCATCCGATATGTGCAGTAGCTGTTTGTGAGATTGTGCAATGAAGAAAAAATTAGAGAGCGCGATTTATTTAATTATAAGACTGTGACAACAATCAAATCGCTCCTTTCTTGTAGAGGAACCGTATCGATGTCGGATCTTTTTTAACCCTCTTGCCCCCTCCCCAATAAACAAAATGATGCAAAATTTGCATGAAATTTGGCTCATAAAAGATCATAAAATGAGTTATAAAGATGTTGCTTAAAAGTCCTCATTTGGAAATCATATCTGCAGTGCACAACGATGAACCAATAATGCTTAAATATGAAAGAAAGTTAAGTACATGCACCGTCTCAATGTTTGTACGCATATGTACAGCTTAATTTATCTCACTGATGCAAAATTGACATGAAATTTGTCTCATAAAAGATCATAAAATGAGTTATGAAGACATTGCTTAAAAGTCCTCATTGGGAAATCATATTTGCAGTACACAACGACGAACCAAAAATGATTAAATATGAAACAAACTTGAGTATATGCAATGTCTCAATGTTTGTACGCATATGTACAGCTTAATTTATCTCACGCATTGCCGATAATCAATTGCAGCGTCTGTAGCTCGTATTTCAGTTATGGCGTGACAACTACCGCTAATTCTTGTTCAAATTTATTGTTTAACATGCGTACATATATTGCAGACATTTCATGCAGCAAATGGTCTGCAAATTGTTTGTGAATCGATTTTCATCGTCTTATGGTGATCATGAATTTTCTATCTGGGCCATTTTTTCCGATCTTTTACGTTCGATGACATGAAAAAGGAACGAAATCTAAGACCTCGCATAACGAAGTTATATTTAGGCGTCGTGCGTCGCGACGCCGGCGTGGTTCGCCCGTAAGACTTGTGACATAGATTTTGTGAGAAACAATTTTAAAGTCTTCATGCAAGGAATATCCAAATTTTCCTACGTATTTTGAACAGTGCTGAAATGAACTTTCCCGATATCATGACTCGTATGAAAGCTCTAAATTAAATAATTATATTTTTCACCGCTCACTGACTTCATCATTACAGTATGTACAATATTTTTCATATAATTAGCATTTATTTCGACTTCATCAGCCCGGTTAATTACTCAATTGTATCTAAAATGATTTTCATTTAACCGCTAATATGTAACTCGTTGAAATCTGTCTTTTGACAAGAGTGCAAGTGACATTTCACGCCACCTTCACGAAGTGGCTTGACAAAATTAGAAAAGTGGCATTGACCTCGAATTGCCAATCCGCATTTCAAGTGGAGGTTGAGTACCCGTTCAGTGTAGCTTACTCGTAAAAATACTTCACTTAGTTAAATGTTTATTACTGGCGAAGGTAACACGCACTGCATTACAATTTGTACATTTTAATTCACGAGTATGTAAATGTTATTCATAGTTTCGCGATCACTTTCCGTTATTTTTCCGAGTATATTGTCCTACTTGTCACGGAAATACAATTCAACCCGTACAAGTATTATAAGCATGAACTAATGTTCATTGTTTGTAGGTAAGAACATCTTATCGCTGCTACAACATTCCTTGTATACATTTTTACTTTGTAGAAAGCGATGTTAATTGTGGGAAAACGAGGAGCACTTGTTCGAAGATTGTTTATTGAAATTATTGTCGAGCTCTAGATCAATTTTCTATCAGAGATAATAGAATGATTTGCAAGTACACTTGTAAATTATCGTATCATGGGAAAATCTTATGTTGCAAATTGAATATGTGGTCCAGAAAAAGAATTTTATTTCGCAGGAACAAAATTTCACTCTTCGGACCATTTTTAACTCTTCTACTGTACTTTATTCTTATACGTGCGGAAACGTTTCAGTTGTACGTTGATAATGACACGAACAAACTATCAAATTTCTGACAATATTCCTATACTTTTTGTGTCTTTTAGAATAATATCCATCAACGTCAACTTAATCATTTTAAATATATGTTCCATTTAACCGGATATTAGATCATTGACATTGGTACAGTTCATCATTATTTGTACTCATTGAAGGTATAAGCTTCGATTAAATATCATTCGGTTTCAACTCTTGAACAAGTTGAACAAACGTCACACCATGACGTGTGTATGTTGTTATGTGACGGAAAAATCTTATGTTGCAAATTGAATATCATGCGCTTCCAAGTAAAGTATTTTGTTTCAAAGGAACAAAATTTCACTTTTCGAACAATTTTTAACTCTTCTACTGTATTTTACTCTTATACGTGCGGAAACGTTTCAGTTGTACGTTGGTAATGACACGAACAAACTATCAAATTTCTGACAATATTTCTTTACGTTTCATGACGTTTGGAATAATATCCATCAACGTCAACTTAGTCACTTTAAATACCTGAATGTTCCATTTAACCAGATATTATACCATTGACATTGGTATAGTTTATCGTTATTTGTACTCATTGAAGGTGTAAGCTTCGATTAAACATTATTTGGTTGGTTTCAACTCTTAAACAAGTTCAACAAGCGTCACATCATGAAATGTGTATCGAATGAATTAGTTTCACGTTATAAAAGCTGTTTGAAAATATGAGATGAGTGGGTGATTAATCAACGGTCAGCCAATACGCTCCGAAATGTGTTTTACTTACCTCTAGAACGCAATGAGTAACGAAACCAAAATATTTTGCTCAAACAAGAAAATGAGCTTCCGAAATGAACTCTCCGAAGCCGTAAGTTGCTCTCACGATTCATCTGGCACGCAAGCTCGTTCGTTCCTCTCTTCCACAACTTCGCTTTGGTCCACCCCACTACTTAAGACGAGTCTATATTTTCTGTCGAATATGTCCGTCGTTTGAATACGAGAATAGCATCATTCTCAGGAGAATTTCCAGCGGAAACTACCCTAGCAGCGCGGAATAATTTCTAAATATTTTTTTTCTCATTTTTGCTAATCTCAAGCGACGGATTTGTTAAAATGTCTTGTCATTTCATTTGAAAATATCTGAAATATTTGTTGAAAATCGTAATGGCATATTTAGTCTCAATAATTTATGAACACGTATCGAAATTACATTTTTTACTTTATGTTTATTATCGGACACTTCATTTGGTACCAAGAAACACGAGAAATTGTTGCAATATTTTCGATTCGCTGTGTCATTATGGAAGCAAAATGTGTGACTTTAATTTTAAATGTTGTTGAAACGTTTATAACATATTGGGCAAATAATATTTCAAAAACACTTATATTAAAATGGAACAAAACGTTCTATATATATAACTTACCGCGTTTAGAAGTTTATCCCGCGCGCGCCGGTTTCATCGCGGCCCCGAAAAGTTTCTACCAACGTCCGCTGCGCCGCGCCACCTAACGACTCTACTCTAAGAAGGAAAAAAGAAGCGCGTCTTTCAAATCCCGAATACCACTGATCTATATACTAACTGAATATCTGATACCCTACAAAATGGCGTGACATTTTGAAGCGACTACAGTGCCTATAGTTAGGGGCACATAAACTAATATCGTAGTATTCGCGTATGCGCCAATACAATGCGTCTTTTGACTGTAGATAGTACAAAAGATGTGAAATTAATTTTCTGGAAGAAAGAAATTGCCATTTTTATTAAAATATTTACGAGAAATATTAACGCACAAGAAATATTAAAACGTTTACGGTAAAAAAGATAACCGTTCTGTTTTAGTAGAAACTTACTTACAATATGTCCAACGTACCGTTCTACACGTAAATTATGTCTCTTCTGTCCTCTTCTATCTTAAACGTTTACCTTCGCGAATTGACAGTCCAAAATGTGCTGTTGCCGCAATTGATGGATTGACGGTTCAAAATTTGTACACATGCGCACAAATTATTTATTTAATATCACTGCCCATATGTAATGGCGCTGGTGTGCCTTGAATTTGTCGAAATCCTCTCCGTAAAGAACAAATAGGTACCAGCTATCCAGTTAGTATATAGATCAGTATCGAATACCATTACTAATATCTTTCCTTTATGGTCGCTTCGCAGCATCTTTCAGTTAACCCTTTAACTACGGAACCCTTTCGACATATGGGCGAAATTCATCAATACGTGCAGGCAAGATTGGACCAAACGTCGGACGCCTTTAGTAGCCAAGGGGTTAAATCGTATAAATAAAAGGGGATCATCGGATGGCTGTTAAATGATGCCCCATTTAAGTCCATTTTAAGTTAAAGGACTGCTACTGCCAACCGCGATATGACAACCCTGAAAAAATGTGACGGCTGCTTCATGTACAAGTGCTATGCCTTGTAACAGTGTCGGGCGCCAAATTGTAACGGTTGAAATTACCCTTAGAGAGGGACTTCTAAAAAAGACTAGGAGACAAATCAATAAGAATAAACGGGGAAGTCTAAAAGGTCTCTATATTAGACAAACAAGAATGAATAAATAAATAAAAAGATGCGCAAATTATAAATAGAATAAAAAGAGACCGAGACCAAAACGAACTTAAAAGAATAAATAATAAAATAATCGCTCTAACGGAAAATATAACAATACAAAAATAAATAAATATAAGAATAAAAACGCTACGTTGGAATAAAACGATACATAACCCGAAAGATGAATTAAATAAAATAAAATAGTACAAGAACACAAAACGCAAATAACGAGTAGCAACAATTAGAGAGAGAGAGAGAGAGAGGGGCTTAACTTGTCGTTTTGGGGTGCGTCATGGAGCAGTGTCGATCGGCAATAAAATAAATCGGCTTTTTATCCGTTCGCCGATTAAAATCCAATCCAATTCCAATGGCCAATACAGGGCCAGGCCTTCTGAGGTAAAATGAGGCAACTCCTGGCCAGATCGTGCGTCCACGATCTTCCTCAGAAATTTATCACGGCCTATTATTGCGGCAGCCGACTTCTATCTCTTCAACGGAACACCTCTTAGCCTCTTGGTTCCCTCTTTCTTCATCTCTCCCTATTTCTCCCTCCATCTCTCCCTTTACATATATTACTTATTATATAAATACATTCAGAATGACCACTACAGCCTGCACAGCGTGTACATTTTCTGCCTGCACATTCGCGTGGTAAAATTTCAAGCGAATCTGTATACCCAATTCAGGGAATACTTTCATGACCGTATCTTTCAGATATATAAAAGCTGACTTTCTTATTACCTTAATACTTGCAGGAAATCGTTCGATCTTCGCAGTTCACGTTTGATTTCCTTTGCGATCAGTAACAACGCAGTGAAGACCTCTCGAGTTAAAACGACAAAAAAGTTCGCGCAGTTATAAAAGAGTCATAGCCTTCGTCTTAAAATTTAACGAACCCTTCTTTAAGGAACGAAGGGACGAGATCGATCGTAAAGTGCGTGGAATTTCTAGAGACCGGAATCGCGGAACATTAATACTCGGGCAACGACGACCCGAAGGCAATTTTGTCGTAAACCTTTCCCTAGGACGGCGCCGTTCGCGGTAACGCCGGTGCCAATTATGTTGACCCCGAGGCAATGCTACGATAATCGCGTTAATAAGGAAATGTCTAGTATCCCCCTAGTGATCATGTAAATTCCCCTAATAAACTTCCCTACTGATCAGCAGTAAAACAAGTAACTGGCTTCTTCCCGTAGAAGTTATCGCCGAGGAACGCTCGGCTTGGGAATAAAAATTGGATTAATTAAAATTACCCATACTTTCCTTATCAATGGATTTCTTCGATAGATTCCTTTTATTCGTGCCCATATTTAGCGGATTAGACCTTTTGCTGTTGACGTTCTTATGCAAGTCTTATTCATTTTATTATAAAAATTCGCTAGTTAAATGTTCGTACTTGGAATACAGATTTTAAATGCCTGCAACGTTATCGCGTATTATTGTGATCATTGTCAGATGTCAGAATGCAAGGGTTAATCTTCAATCTCCTGATTGGAGTGATGTAGCCTGAAGCACATTTAAGCAACATTGTTTAAATGTTCGTACTTGGTGTCGCAGTGGAACATAGATTTTAAATGCCTGCAACGTTATCGCGTATTATTGTGATCATTGTCAGATGTCAGAATCTAAGGGTTAGTCGCTCTTGAATCATCTGATTTGAGTGATGCAGCCTGAAGCACATTTAAGCAACATTTGGTCATGGACAGTGCAGGGCACGCTTGCTCGAAAGAGTGTCAATCAGGGCTCAGCATTCCAACCACATCCCGTCCTGTGTCTTGATAGAGGAAAGGGAAGAAAGCGCAGCAAGAATGCAACTTTCCATTTGTAGTGGTATTCTCATTTTAAATATTCGCGCAATCGTCTGTCATCGGTGTCTGAGGACTCTATCGGGTTGTGCGTGTAAATACTCAGGTGCGACAATTTAGGCAAGACCGGAGAACCAGCGCTCGCTCACTTGACAGACAACCTTCGTCCAGGGCACATCACGAGGAGGACTCTACGATCCAAGGATCCAGGATAATGGAGTTAAGTCGAGGGCGAAGTTGTTACCGCCACTCGTTGACCAGCCCTTCAGCCTTCTCCGACGCCCCTCCAATATCTTCACTTCCACCGAGCGCATCAAATATTCGAGCTCTGAGGTTATATACATCTTAAAATTCTCATCGTGCGTCGGTACTTGCTGGAAAGTCCAGCATTTTACAAATCTTTGTGACATGAAGCTTGAACGCGGCAACCAAATTTTATAAATTTCACTCAGGAATATTGCTCATCGACCTTAGTTTGCCATGGACTCGTCCACAACCCTGACAACATATGAAATGGACTCTTGATTATGTTAATGACTGGCACAGGGAGCAACAATCTTGGTACATTTATTCTATAGTGAACAAGAAGCATGGGCCTTGTTGCCCACATGGGCCTTAATACCCTAAGGTACCTTATTCTACCGTTTTGAACGATACATCACAGTAGCAGCTTTGGTCAATTAATTCATTGAACGATACACCATTATAGTGGGTTTCCGCTGGACTCTATATTTGAACGACATGCCACTACAGTGCATACTTGTTTCACCCCACCACACAAGGAATACATTTACATGTCCCGCCTTACACCTGCTTTATAACTACTAATATTATACCTACTGGTGTTAAGCATCGTGTAAACCCCATTTTACGCCGGTGTTACCAGTAAAATCGGAGTAGTACGGCGTTTACACGACACTTAATACCAGTAGTTATAACACCAGTGGTTATAAAACAGGTGTAAGGTATGTGCTGATTGCTTGGACACTCAGATCACGTCTTCGGACGGGTAGACCAACTTGTGGGGTTGATATTACGTACAGAAAAATCGCAAATAATATCAACCAGATCGTTCATAGAAGTGAAATAAATAGGAGATAGACACGTGCAGGAATGTACAGATGAATAGTTTATTCACGATTGGCATGCTGCTCGTAATGCAATTACAAATGTGAAGTATCGTCGATCGAGGATCTGATCAGCGGACTTTGGCAGAGTCGCGCGAAACAACGACGGTGTTTTGCAGCCGACATATTATTTACAAGAAGTTCGGCGCAATGGCATCGCCTTGCTCGGATTGTAACGCAAACAATTCTAGAGTAAGGGCGTGAGCGCAAAAGAACCGGAAACCGCGTTGGCGCCATAAACGGTCTCGAAGAACTTTCTTACTGCGGTTTTGCGATCCGTCATGAGATACTGGAACTTCTTTTCGCGGGCGCCAAACGAGTTGTCGGCACGGAATTGATCTCTAGCAAACAATCAGAGAAAACTCAATGTCCCCTACAACTGGTCCCTTGACAAACTTCGAAACGCTGCAGAAGAAGTTCCATTTTTGTCGCCGGTCTAAGTTGTCATTTTCCTGCTCATACGAACCTAAATATACCGCGACATTGTGCCATTAATGCAACTGCATGTGAGATAACGTGATAACGTGTTGCACATTGTAGGTATTATAAATGGAAGTTATCGTATCAGTCACTGAGTCCGGCAAGTACGTTACATTTCAATCAAGTTTATATTCGGATAGTAAAGTAGGTTACTTCTTAATTTACGTTACCCATACTTCAATGTCGAGCCATCTTAGAAACCTGATTTATAATTCCTCTCAACAATTCTTCAAACTTGTCCCACCTAGAGCTTAGAAAGTTTTAGAAGTTTTTCAATTCACTGTTCGATAACGACATGATGGGCTATTTACCGTTATTTGAAGTTCAATTGCTCGTGTCTAAAGAAATTCGTTCAAATTACGTGCTCATTGACTTTATTGGCTTTCGTGACCTCAGAACTTCACTTTAAGGAGACGTGGACTTTGAGTTAGCTGCAAAGCATTTGCATGGTACCACTTCTGAATTAAAGTTCCGATTACATCCTAAACGATTCTGTGTTGATACCCTGTTCACAGCAATTCGAAGTGGTTCTCTCAGGCTGGGGGCAGACTGGCCCACGCTGCGATCATACCGCCGTGACTAGATCACCCTAATATGTGGCACTCATCTAAACCAAACATGTTAGACAAGCAACCTTGTCACGCCGATGGAATAGAAAATGCAAATGAGTGCGTTTGTTGGGCAACTGAAAAATGCCTTTGAAACGTTCCACGTCTTATTTTACCATATCCACCATATAAACGCTTGGGTCACTACCTGTCACAATTAAAATTTGATATCTTAATTAACTGAAACAGCAGCGTTTGCTGCGCCAACGTGTCACCAGTGATGAGCAAAATCGGTCTTGGTCTTGGAGTCTTTGCCTTGGTTTTGCACATTTTTCAAGACCAAAACTCGACTGATCAAGACCAAAATTCGAGTATGCGAGACCAAGACCAAGACTAACATGGTCTTGGTCTTGCATTTGGTCTGCCATGATCTCATCCCTAGTTCTGACCACAACGGACACCAGTCTGTCTCCGGTTTCAAAATGCATCGACAACAGGTGACATATGGACTTAACCTTTTAGAACATTACTGCAGTATGGCACAATGCTACCGTACCGTCGTTCTCTTACAATTACACGGGAGCAACGTTACATTGTACTGATAATAGCAAGTCGGTGTAATGCAAATTTATAAGGTCGCACAAAACACGGGTTTTCCGAGTCTCCTGGGTTGTCTTTGTCCATTACAAGGTAAACTCTGTGAATACGATGAAAGCATACTCGGAATTAAAGGAAGGAAGGCAAAAATGAATACTACTCGCTCGTAGTTTTGTACAAGGGTCGATGAAACGACGGCGAGTTTCCGTAGGATATCTTTTCCGCGATTGCCGCCTTACCTGTGTAGTCGAGGATATTTACAATGTGGAGAAATGACGGCTCTCACAAGATGGAAACGGTAGTTGAAACGACATGTATCTAGCGAGACACGATCCTATTTTATCTATACCCGAGCTTTATTATCTCGGGGTGAACCCTGTACATCAGTTCTGAAGTATTAATTTTAGTCTCGCAAGCCTAGGTTCCGATATTCACTGCAAAAAGTATGAAAACTTCTTCTGCCCTTTAAAATGATTGGTAGAGTGGTAGTTATTGTTATTACGTTACGTTGGCACTGAATTCTGAGATCAGTCATTTATTGGTACCTCTGATCTGTGTAATAAGTACTGAATCAACAACTGGTAGGTACTTCAGAAATTAATGCAAATTTTATGATTATATTTGTAAAATATACGTATTCACATTCAAGTAACATCGTTAAGAAGAAATACCAAAAATCTGAAATACTATTAAAAAATTGGTTGATAAGCAAAGCAGGATGAAATTTGGCTAATTAAGCAGTTTAAATCTTCGTATATTTAGAAATTATCTATTTGCCGTGTAATTTTTAATTATTATTGTTTCAATACCACAGTGTAATAGTGACAATGCATAGCATACGGTGTATACCATTAGTTGTTATTTTAATTAATAAAGTTATTTACCAAACTGTAAACAGTGTACGCTATGCAGATTTTCAAGATATTTAGTAATCACACAAAAGTGAAATTGGTTCGTTATAATCAATTATTACGTCGGATTTCATACGTTTCATTTCTGGAATTGGTAATAACATCTCTCGGAATTTTGTTTCTTAACATTAACTTATCATGTAAGCAATGTAAGTCTAAACAAACATGAAGTACTTTCTTTTTTTAGTTATTTCATATTTCTGTAGCTAAAGATGTGTATAGAGGCAGTGATAATAGTAGAATACATTACTCTCAAAGATTTGCCAGGAAATATCGGAACATAGTTAATGACATTTACAAAATGCGAGACATAATTTACGTTTTGGTAGACATTCTCAAAGACGAAACAAATATCACTCGATGTTGAGACACATCTCGTATTATCTATAAAATGGATACATGAATTTACAATTAACTTTGATCGATTGGACGTCATTCTTTACTATACTACATAAATGTCGCATCACGTGACTGAACTTGGTTTTGGTTGAGAGAAAATGTCCCGAATCGTGATCAGATGAATTTCAATTAAATATTGTGGTCCTGCAAAAGTCTTGCCTCTCTGAGAGATTTATCAAGCAGATAACGTGCATTAAAGTTAAACAGAGTTTGTACGTCAACAATTGATAAGAAATGCACAAATACTTGGAACTTTTAAGAGAATCAATTGCAATTCCATGTAATCAAAATGGTCTTAACCGCGTACGGTTACGTTGAGAAAGAAAAAAATTCACCGAACCAAAAAATGATTTCTTTGAACAGTACCAATGAAACGTTTTGTCAAATCAAAGAATTATTATTTGACTCAGATATATTCTTATCATTCCGAAAAAATGTTGCATCCAATTCATTCGAATCAGATTCAATGAAACCTTTCTTCTCAGAGTAAACGTGTCAAATTTGATTTTCTGAAAGGTTGGGAAATGATAAAACAAAATCTATTCCTATGATACAACACAATCGAGATAGCTCACCTATTAATGTAAACCCAACAATAACCAAGTTAGTCAAAAAATTACATTCAATGACAAACGCTCCCTTCATACGTTGCTCCCATCAACGATCGAGTTTTGATTAGTTCACTCGAGTGAGATCGAACATATAAAATTACGCATTTTGCATCGCGCTGTAATGCCTATTACACATGAATTCTCATAATCATGAACACCCTTGAGCGGCTCATTTAAACGGAAGCATAACAATTTCGAGGGTAAGGGGGACCGAGGTAAATTGTAACAATTCTTTTACATTTTTAACTCTGTAATTGACAATAACGGATTTTTACAATTGAAACTGGGTACATACATTAACCGAACCTTTCACCAAAAGATAGTTTAGATTTTATCGCTTTACAAGTTCATGAAAAATTGCCAACTATATTTTCCGTACCGAACGTCTATGTACAATGGCTACCGATGTGGGGTGCAATTGTAACACTTATCGGAGCAAATGTAACGTTAGTTATAAATTTGAAAAATTGTATGAATATTTAAGGACGCTAGGTATAAGTTGACAAATACGTAAATGCACAACAGATTGGATTAATTTGGGATTCGTTCGGAAATGAAAGCAACATTTGGTAGACTTGTAACCGATGTACAGGTTAAACAATATATGTCAAATTGATATATTTTGTTTTCATTCCGTTTACGAATATTTTGATGTATACAAGGTATGTTTTTGTGTTGAAATGTCTGCTGGAAATAAATTTTATCGAATGTGTTCTTCGGCAATGTAGATTACTGGAGTCAATTTGACTTCTTGCACTTATCCCCAACGAATTCCGTCAAACGATTGATATAATTATAACTACTTAGTTGTTTTAACTTTAAATCCATTAAACATACAACGAATTACTCTATATGCAATGCCGTAGCACGAGTAAATCGGTTTCATTTCCCCGGAATTAAATACAAATCGAAAATATTGAACCCATAAAAATGTTACACGCCTATGCCTTTATGAAAAATGTTCATAACCACGGAACGGTTAGTTTAACAAACATTAAATTACCGCGAAACGTTCATTGCGATATCGGAAAGCTTCCACTGTCTCGATACGTTTTTTCAAGTTTAAAGGTAACATTTATAACGTTTGTTACAATGCCCTGTGTTACATTTGACTTCGATCTCTCTTACACTATAGGCTCGCTCTGTGGAATTATTTACCATTGACGTTATGAAAATTCACGTGCAGTAACCCTAAATGCGATGGACTTACAATACGTATGTACACTTAGCGACAGCTGCCCGTGTTATCACACTCATATCGTGAAATTTTTATTTTCAGATCGCAGTTTATCGGATGGGACGATTGTTCATGAAATTGGCATCTTCTTGTTTCATGAAATAGTTGTCAGTCAAGAAGAAACGAACGGCTGGCTTTCCGCTGGTAACGTTTAACCACTTCGGCGCTCATTAGCCGATGGGTTCATATCCCGGCCGTCGACTAAAGTCGACGCTCGGCTGTGAGACTTCATATCACGGCCGTGGACTAAAGTCGACGCTTGGCTGTGCATCTTAATATCACGGCCGTCGACTAAAGACGCTCGGCTGTGCACCTTCATATCACGGCCGTCGACTAAAGTCGACGCTCGGATGTGAGACTTCATATCCCGGCCGTCGACTAAAGTCGACGCTTGGCTATGCGCCTTCATATCACGGCCGTCGACTAAAATCGACGCTCGGCTGTGCATCTTAATATCACGGCCGTCGACTAAAGTCGACGCTCGGATGTGCACCTTCATATCGCGGCCGTCGACTAAAGTCGATGCTCGACTGTGAGACTTCATATCACGGCCGTCGACTAAAGACGCTCGGCTGTGAGCCTTCATATCACGGCTGTCGACTAAAGACGCTCGGCTGTGCGCCTTCATATCACGGCCGTCGTCTAAAGACGCTCGGTTGTGAGCCTTCATATCACGGCCGTCGACTAAAGATGACGCTCGGCTGTGCATCTTCATATCGCAGCCGTCGACTAAAGACGCTCGGATGTGCATCTTAATATCACGGCCGTCGACTAAAGACGCTCGGCTGTGAGACTTCATATCACGGCCGTCGGCTAAAGTCGACGCTCGGCTGTGAGACTTCCTATCACGGCCGTCGACTAAAGTCGACGCTCGGATATGCGCCTTCATATTACGGCCGTCGACTAAAGTCGACGCTCGGCTATGCGCCTTCATATCCCGGCCGTCGACTAAAGTCGACGCTCGGCTGTACGCCTTCATATCACGGCCATCGACTAAAGTCGACGCTCGGCTGTATGCCTTCATATCACGGCCATCGACTAAAGTCGACGCTGGTACCGAAGTGGTTAAACCACGTCGACGTGTAGTTTTGTCTTACGTTCGTAATTTAGCTTCGTTTGTTTTATGTCAAAGGTGGTTTTCCGATGAAGTGCGCGTACATTGCGTACAGAGGGTGGTCGCCCTCGTCGGACACGATTGACAAGTCCGAGGGTTGCCTCCGACGATGGCGAAGAGCGTTCTTTGACGGCTTCTTATTGCCATTGCCGCAATCCAGAGCGTGCCGTAATTCACTCACCATTTCGGTGCACAGAGACGTCTGAAAAAGCAACAAATTTATTAGAAAATCTTTCATATTTAATAGCAAATGGACGATACAGATAGAGATTGATTGAAGAAAATTACTACATCCCACCAAACACGGTTTGGTAACAACAATATACCCGTTACTCTCTTTGTAACATGTAACGTAACATACACGTTACATGCACGTAAATCTTACATTATTATTTCCTACGCAGTTATATAACACAGTTATAAAACAAATAATCCCAGATAGAAATTCTTGGTCATTATATGATGAGGAAAATCGATTTATAAACAAATTGCTGCATGAAATGTCTGCAATACATGTACGCATATTATACAATAAATTTGTCATACATAGTTGTAGTAATATATTTACCACATACTCGAGTCATACGCCAGTTATACCATAACCGACACTTATGAAGTGAAAGTTTATGTAAAATTAAACAAGAGCTATAACATTATTCCACGATTTTAATTTGCGGACATTGTATGAAGTTAGTTAATGCTACAAATGTGAGCTAAATACGACATTGGTCCATGTTTCCGTTTCCATCACGACATGACTCAAATATGGACTACGGACGCTGTAATTGTTTATCGGCAGTACGTGAGATAACTTTAGCTGTACGTATGCGTACGAACATTGAGACATTGCATGCACTTAATCTTGTTTCATATTTAAGTATTTTTGGTTCGTCATTGTGTACTGCAGATATGAGTTCCAAATGAGGACTCATAAGCAACACACATGATCTCATGAGTCATTTCATGATACTTTATAAGGCAAATTTGATGCAAATTTTACATCACTTGTCTATCTGGGTAATAATTCAATATTATGCGATATCAATCTTTTAATAATTTCCGTTACATACAATATTATTTCAGTGTTATGTAACTATGACAAGAGGTGTTTGGTGAGATGTCCGTACAATTGTACGAGTGCTCAGGAGTAAAAAGATAATTTATTTCGGGCTCGACAGATTTCACTATGCATGCGAAATATTTAAGTATTTTGATATTTGAGGTTGGTAGCTTTTTTAAATTACTAAATCTTTTTTAAAATACTAAATGGCGTGGTAAAGTCCTCGAGCCTCGGAACAAAATGTTTTCAAAATCTGACAAATCTCTAAATATTTTGAATTTCATAAGTGCAGAATAGGTAAAAGGTTGTACAGCGGTCAAATTATTATCATTAAAATTAAACATTGCACGCGACATTTTTCCCAAACATGTGCAGTTTGTAAATCGCATGTCTACAAAAATCGTATATTTCTTAATAATACAAATAATTTAAACGATTTTCTTTTTCTTGCAAATGGAATAGTCATAATTTCATATCAACCTTGTGCAATGCAACTGAATTTATAACATGATATGTAGTTGGTCAAATTTTGGTGCTTTCAGAAATGAAATATAGAAACGCGTAATATAGAGACATATCCATGCCTTTAATGTAAAGCAAAGAATATGAATTCCATTCGTAACAGGACCCTGGAATGTCTTTGAAAAGCAGTGGAAAAAAAATAATTAAGCATTAACACAACAATTAACCAAATTCCTCCAAATGAAAATGTTGATACGAGGAACCTTGTACAAGAAAGGCTCACCATTTTTTTTCAAAACAACCATTAAAGGTATTCTTAATGCAACTGTTTTACATGTAAGAAAGTTAATTGCATGACATTTTCAATCTACTTTTGGATATATAAATATGTGGTAATAGAGTTTCGATCTAAACCTGCTACGTTATAATAAATTGAATCAGTTTGGCTTATTTATGATTTCTTATAATTTCTTTCAGATTCGTCACCATAGAGCAACAAATATGTTAATATTGCAAAGAAGTGTACATTTATGCCGGATGACATGGAATGAAAAGTTAAAACAAATGGTGACAGTAAATTACAGAATCTGATTATACAATCTTTTCAATATCTATCAATATATGAGCCGCTCAGTGCACACATTGATTAACTCCATAAAACAAAAAGTTGAGAAATGTGATGAAGTAATGTTTTTAAAATTCCTATTATAACATAACTTCAAATATATAATGTAGAATACATAAATACAGTTATAGTTTTCATCTAACGGTATATAAAATTAATAAGAAAGAATAGCCAAAAAATAATCGTCTGCATTTTATATCGACAAATGTTTTTGCAGGTATTAAATTTCATCCCCTATTCCTGTATGCCAAACCTTTTGTTCCGTTATGCTTTTGTAAATTACGTGCCCATTTATCAGGATTACGACTTCTTTTCCTCCCAATCGGTGGGTTTGTTGGGGAATTTGTACCGTTGCAATCGGATGAATCCGAGAAACACGATAAACGTCTTCTTGCCCCAGACTTTCTGCTGATAAACCGGATTGAAGAACCATCACTGCTTTCCACATCCACATTGTTATTAGTTTCGCTCATCTTGATTATAACGGTATAATATTTTGTTCTTTAAAAACAATCAGGGAGTAATGTTGAAAAGACCAAAAAATATGTAGTCCGTGTAATATTGGTGAAGTATACGGTAACATTCAGCGTGAGAGATCACTGTTATACTAACTACCGTCTGCATTGCGCTTCTTTCTATCTGTTTGCTGATGCGATTTTATTACTCATATTGTTGAAAGGGGGAAAGCATCTTCGGCTGTTTAAAAAAAAAAGCGTCGATGTACGGCCGCAACAGATAATCCAATAATACTATACTGCCAGGTATTCGTCTACGATTTACATTAGAGTATGGAGTTAATCAAAATGGCTTCTGAAATAAATTGCTTATTATTCAATGCCCAAAAAAATGTTGCCGTTTAATGGTGTTAGTCTCTATTAATCAGGAAAGATATTATAATTATAAAAAGGTATGACTATACCAAGTGCTTTGACACCTAAATTTAAGATTTTTCAAAAAGTGGAGTTAGTCGATGTGTGCACTGAGCGGCTCATATATGTATCAGATATGAAACACATGGATTTCTTTTTTGCCCCGCAGAGTTTCTATGTGAGTCCTTCTTGCATCCAGCACTTGGATACGATATTACACGATTTTCTATTGGAATATGGTAATGATATCTTTGAGAATACTAGTGTTATCATGCAGCGGTATTACTAGGAATAATAGTGGTTTGCTCACCTCCTGCGAGTCCATGGCGAGAGAGAGGCAAGAAACATATTGCGACACGACTAACAATGTCATACTAAACTGTGAAGCTGAGTGTCCTCTCAGCACAGTTCGCTTATGTCTATTAAAATTGAATGCCTTTAATCACAATGGTCATATATTACAGTTTCTTTGTAATGAGCCGACACATAGAATTAAATATCGAATAACTGAACGCTTGGGGTTCGAGAATCTGCCTTCGCGTCGTCTAATTTGGAAAGAGGTTCACGAGTATAAAAGACGTAGGAGCAAGGATCTCGTTAAAAAGAAATCGTCAGAAGCCAACGCCATTAAACGTAACATTTAAATCGTTGGCATCGTTACTCCGAAAGTTCCTCGAACTCCAAAGTGAAATCGCGAAGGCCCGTCGAACAATCCGGTATGTACAATAAAATGTCTATGTCCTAAGACTACACATTCACTATCTAGTCGGTACAAAATGGTGATTGTTTTTCAAACATCCGTCGTATCTTGCATCCGCGTTAATCTCACAAATCCTGTCTTCCGTGTTGGCTAATTTCGATTTGCAATTTGGCAGGTGTCACCGATCACCCTCTAGATCATAAGACTGGTTCGAACACTCAGCGAATCGATGCGGTACTTGATATGAGTAAATGACGGACACCTTCATCTCCCGAATTTCGTTCCATTTCTTTAATGCAAAGGCAAGGAAAGATGTTTGGTCCTACTGACACACGGCATAGGAATAAATCGGTAAAGGTATTTAGATGAAAGGTTCCTGTTAAACGATCAAACACACCATGGACGTTTCATGTGAGTGTGGAGTGATATCAGTGACATCGGCCACGTTAGCACGTGTCTTCGAAGACTGAAAAAAGGAGAACGATCGGAGAGCCCAGTGATAGCGGCTCCTGTATCTCCGCCTTTTTCATATCGAATGCTATTTCCACTAACTGTTATTTCGTTGCACGCACAAACATCGTCCCTTCCCTTAAATTTTCCTCTCTTTTCACTTTTCGATTGGATAAGTCATTCATGATGGAGTTCTTCCTTAGGTCCAGTTCATCTCGGGTCACGAAAACGGATAGGAAACACACCGGTCTTGGTGTCTGTTTTTGAAGCGTCCTCCCACTGTATCCGCTAGTGCAGATCGGTAAAACCTTCGCAGATCGTTTTCCCCGAGGATTTCTGCTTCTAAAACAGAATACCAAAATGACCCGGTAAGTCTTGGGATGGTCATTGCGACGCAGACACGTAGAGAGAAGTGTTATGCACTTTCCACTGAAAACGACAAGGAAGTCATGTCAGAGGACTAAACAACACAGGTATGGCTTGATTACGGGTAACGCGATGAACAACATTTTTCGTTAATTGTCCTCAAAATTTCAAATTTTAATGGCAAATCAAGCTATCAATTTACCGTGATAGCTAGAGGATCCTTTACAGCTAAAAATGTAAATACACCCGTTCCTCAATTCTTTTTACGCGAATGGAAATTGCGTAAATAAAGTCTGTCGATATAAAACAAAAAATATTGGGACAAATTGCTTGTACGTATGAGGTTTAGAAATACATATTTATTTCAAATGGCTTAACAAAAAAAAAATAATGACGTTTCAAAACCTTGAAAATTGAGGGAGGAGGGTACACTGTTAAGAAGATATTGTAACTCTGCAACAGTTTTGATGGAAGTTTTATTCGGACGTGACATACTAATTTTAGAATATATTTTTAATTAAAATGTATAACATATATTGCAAATTTAGTACATAAGTGTCTTAATTTTCCAAAAGGATTTCACAAAATTATACTATGTCATGGAATTACACATCTATTTAGAAACTCATAATAAATGTGTACGAATTCACTGTTGAGACGTAAAATTTTTGATTTTATAACAACCTTATGTACTAAAAGTGTAAGAATTTTATGAACATTTTTAATAATATACGAATTGGCAGTATAACAATGAGGTGTAAAACATGCTGGAATGGTGTTTATAAAAGTGGCATGCAGTTTTTGGTAGATTATACAGACATGTGTGGAAATTTTCAACAGTTTGTTCAAACGATAAACCCCTAGAACCTTACAAGCTTTTGCAGTATCAAACAATATAATGTATGTCGCATATATTGGCAACTTTTCCGTTACTGCATTTATTTACTATTTGTTCAAAGTAGCGGAATTACAAAATCAAATAATATGATTTCTCCATGACTGTTCAAATTTTAATTATGGAATAAAACATGTGATGCATGTTATCTCATAAATTTACAAAAGACGCCGATAGACATTCTTCACCATTGGTTTACGTAAACAAAATTAATTATGTGCAACTGTATAATGATCACATACAGTGATATCGTATAATCGTAATCAACTGCATTTTTATATGATTGAACTTTTGTCAGCCATAAATTCAAAGAATTGAATTTTGTTAATGCCTGAAGATGCACAGAGGTAATAATATTTATTCAATGAAACTAAACAATATTTCTATTTGGCAAAGGTGTACTCGTTCACGCATATCTGGGAACGGCCCGAGGGGTTATTCTCTCAGGAAATTATGGATTTTAACGCTTGAAATCACATTGAAATCAGCTGGAAATCGCTGGAAATCGTTGGAAATCACTGAAACACTGTCGCAATTTTAAAGCCGACCGTCACTTGTTATCGAATCGCATTGTTGTTCATCATATTTCGCTCATCATTCTACACTACGAAATTAGCGCTCAAATGTATTTGGCTCAAAACTCTACTGAGTTTCTTGATGAAATCAAAGACAATTGGCTCTCAAAGAAGGGAATGGTTTCAGTGATTTCCGAGTAAATAATTCCTCGAAACGGCCATTGTGACGTCTGTCAGGTCTGTCAGGTCTGTTAGGTCTGTCAGCGAAATTTTCATTGCAAACCCAAATTTTTATAGCTTGATGAAAAAAGCGTTTTTTACTTTTACGCCACGATCGCCCCTTAAGCAGGAGGGTCTAGGGACCTGGGAAGTTGCCAAGGCGTATAGAACACCGGTGTCGAGTCCCACGGACAAGGTCCGGGTAGCTACGAGGACCTTATAGCGTATCCCTTGTAAACCATTGACCTCCCAGTCTCGTGCAGGCTGGGGCAAGGTTCTTGCTCCGGATGTGGAATACCGTTATTCAAAACCCGATGCTTAGGATTTTTTAATTCCACGCATAGCTTGTTATTCGCATGCACAAACCCAAGGTACAACGCATCAAGCCATTTACCGTCAGCACCAAAGTGTATCGTAACGGAAGGGTTACGTGAGAGAAAAGGGTAAACAACCAGTTGAACGGCGCGACTCTTCGAATAACTATTTCCGATGGTCGTTTACAGTGGATAGAAGCAAAAGCGGACCCAAGGAGCGCAAAAGTCCAACGGGTTGGTTTCCAACTATCTCATCATCGAATGTCTGCATAACCTGTGCGCTATCTGGGTCCATGGAAGAGCGGATAGCAAAAAGGGCGCTTCAGACCCGAGTGATCCTGTAGTTGGTCCTGGACCATTAAAGAGGAACTCCACCATCGTGCGAACATCAACTGATGTACTCCCGGGGTTTGTCGAGATAGATCGCGTCCAAATCGAGGTGAGCATTGGGCGCCGTGCAGCTAGGGACGACGCCATCGTCTTCGTGTTATCTGACCTCACTCACCCGCTCCTCAACGGCGACCTTTCGGCTCTTCCAGACGAACTCGCAAACCGCGATCACGCAAGCGACACCCATGCCGCCCATCAGCACCACGAACACTCCCCCGACGTTCGCAAGACCCAGCTCGTTTGCTGCAGAGCTGCTCTTCGATGTGTCGTCCTGGAAGGAATGGTAACTCTTTTACAGGTTTCGTCCACAGCGTACAAATGTTCTTAACCCTCAGACCCCGGAGCGAGGACTCTGGCTTTCCCAATTTCCTTCTTTGCCAATAACTTCGTTAACAATATTCTCCTGATATTCTGCTTCCCCCCAGTCGATTTGTATTGCAAATGTAATATAATGGCGTGTTCATCGTATATTTTGTGTAATTTTTTATAAGAGAAAGGTAAGTTTTTTATTTGGGTGACCCTAGACACCCAGTTCGTACTTTATGTTTATGGAAGGACATCGAGGGGCTATTCATTTGGAAATCAGTGAAAACCATTTGTTTCTCTCAGAACGGATTGCCTTTGATTTCACATGATAAACAACAATGCGATTTGGTAACGTTCAACATTAAAATTGTGACAGTGTTCGGTGATTTCCAACGATTTCCAATAACTTTACTGGAATTTATTGTGGCATCAAAGTAACCAATGGTTGAGTTTGTAAATTGACATGGGCATTTTTATCAGTGTGTACGGTTTAGCAGTCCCAGCGGGAAAACGGGGCATAAATGTAGAGCAAATGAAATTACTGTGGGATAATGTAGCGCGAATTTAGTTGATATATACCGGGGTAACGACCTCTAGATTGGGGGATAAGCGAGGCCGACGAGATCTCGTCAAGAAAGTTTCCTGCTTGGTTCTCGGTCACGTTCCGTAAACTTGGGGGATTTACCAAGTGTTCGGCCGTGAAATTTCCGTCACTGAGCAGGGACATTGCACGTGTCTAGTGGAAATTCAGAGATATGACGCGATGCCTCCAGCAATGCGTCTACGGACGTGTAATCCTCATTTTCAAGGAATCCATGAAATGCGAATCGGAGTATCCTCAAAATGTCGGTACTATAGCCATCTAATGCACTACGGAATTATCAAAAACCCTGTAACACGTCAACAGCGCAATTCTAACAAATGTACAGTTTTCGTTAACTCTTTGAGGCACGGTGGTGTTAAAAGTGTCCCACCTCTTTAATGCGTGAATATGCACGGTGGGATATTTTTTGACCCACATTGAAATTTTGTAATTGCTACGTCCACATAGGTTTATTTTTAGTCCCACTTACGCAAAGTAGGTGGCAATACCATCAACAAATGTTATAAATGTGTTCGCTTGTACTAGCAAGGTTCGACATATCAGTACAGGTTCATTAGCTGTTGCATAAATAAAAACGTACCAACTAAATCTAACTCACCATCAATACAAATAAGCAAATCCAAACCTCGCATTTCGTTAGAAATAGGAAGACGAGATTCAAAACATCAATCGAAAGGTTCTATTCGTATACGATGTGCGCTTTATAGTACCAAAAAGATTGAAGTTCGCACATTGTGGTCTTGTATTGTATGCAAAGTGCCTCTGTGCCTTGAGAAAAGGATGTGTTTTAATAAGTGCCATTCAGGAACCCATGTGGCACAGTGGTACTATTTGAGTCCCAACCCTATTCAGTATGAATAGTATGTGTAGAGTGTTCTAAATTGTCGTAAAATTGTTCTGACACTTTCGTTCCTCATATCAAAGCCTTCAGTAATTGTATATTGATCGAAATATGAGAGGACGACGTCATTTTGGTTCTGGTCTGGGCTAAGTTAAAAAATTGTTTCCAAAAATCCAAATTTTGAATGTGTCAGGACAATTCTTAGATGATCACGAGTCATGTGTCAAAGTTTCGGACAGTTTGGTCCAATACCCTTAAACAAAGTATTGCATTCGAATCGACCGATTTGAGGGGGGTTGCACACCCTCTTAAGGGGAATAGTTAATAAACTTACTCGGCAGGATCCACCGCCGCGCCTTTCTTTCCACCACCTCGTTTTCAATATATGGAGTTTTCCCTCCTCTTGCAGCTTCAAAATGGCCCCGCTAATTGCAGTTCGGAACGGTGAGTCTAGAACAAGGAAAACAATTGTAAGAAATTGAGAAAATTAAGTAACATCACTGACTGCCGCTTGACCCACATGTTCCTTATAAAGTGAAAAAGCTGCAGACAAGGATAACACCTAAGTATACATACTTTTACTTATTACTTGAATCGAAAAAAAGTGTCGATACATATTCGAAAAAATCGATATCTACACTCATATCTGACATTTAGCCTGTATTTGAAATTTGTTTATGGGAACTATGTGCAATATTATGTACGAGTGCTGAATATCAATCGAAGACTTACTTGGAGGCATGGCAATGCCGTATCCTTTGGAATCCAATAAGCCCCCAATTTGCGTGAGCTCGCAGTTCCTCTCGATTACGTATTCGATGGAGGTGGACTCCATTAGAAATGCGTAGTTCCCCTTTCCCTTTATCACTTTGTCTACTCCCTCGCCATTACTGGACGTGAACACAGGTGGTCGCGCTGATTCCATGAAGGACCACATACGCTGGTACGTCGAAAAATTCGAATCCTGATGGACAGATCAACGAGTGCACTTTGATCAATCAATGATGGATGAGGCCAGTGCCCTAAAGGGAAGATTAAGGATGCACTTGAAGGGAACATTCGTAAAGGAACAAAGGCAAAATCATCGGAGGTCCATAGGCGACTCTATTTCAGGGATTGCTCGCGAGAAGACGTCATTGTTGCCCAAACAATAGGTAAGGCTGAACTAAGGATGTCTCTACGAGTAGTGGACAGAAAGGACACTTAGTCCTGGACCACAGGACCGAGCAGTTGGCTCTTATTTGAATACTCTAGGCGTACATACAATGGCGGACATGAATGCCCCCCTTGTAGATACGGCATCGCCTGTGCAGAATGGGAGGGCATTGATGTCTCCCAGCGTACACAATTGTCTTATAAGCCATCATAACAAGTTGCGCGGTTGACGAGATATAGGAAACTGTTAATAGTAGACACGTCTTATTAATTTCATTCCTAAACCCTTCACATGGATCATTCGAATTAAGCCGATGTCAACTATTCATTATACATTGACAGCTGTCAACATTCGAGAAAAGATACACCAAGGAATTAGGTTGAGCATTTAATGCTGACGTTAATTGACGGTACACGACAACGTGTTTATAAATAAAGCAATTAATTTTTTACGTTATTTAGCTGATCGGATAAGTGCACTTTCCTTCCAACTGTACTAGTTATCGCGTGATACATTACAGTGACATGTAGTTAGAAGAACATTTACATTAATTATGAGTTGGTAATGGTTAACACTGTAGTACCATTCATTATTCAAATGTATCGCGATTTATCGAGGCGTCAACATTTGTCGGATTTTCTAAATAGTTTAAAGGTCCAATTAATAAATATAGTGCAGGTACAATATTAGGTGAAGTAATAAAAATGTATTGCCAAGATGTACATACTGTCGATATTTCTCGTCAGATTAAAAGAAGTTATATGATTCATTTTTTATATCAAGTTAATAAAAGTACTGAAACGTCATTGAAAAATAGGATCGTTAAGAAAAGTAGACAGACAAATTTGTATGTATGAGGCGCACAGAGATTAAATTAAGAGCTACAAGGACTCGCTTTCAAATTTCATCTAATAAATGATACATCGCATCGCTTACGGCAAATGTTAGTTATTGCATTTTCCCGTTTTGCATTTTTATGTACTCATTAAACTATCGCAAGGAATTGAATAATTGGCTATCACCGCATGAAAGCATAGACTGGTGTAGCCATTAAGGTGATTTGAATGTGACGTCAAAGAGATATCGTTTATGAAACTTTTCTCCGAACTTTGTGTACTGATCGTCTTAAAGTTGACAATATGAATATGGAGGCAGAAGGAAAGTCCTGAAACCCATAAAATTACAATGTTAAGATAATTTATTTATAGCTAATTTCAACAATTTTAATAACGAATGAAATTTCGCGAGTTTCAGGATGTACCTTAGGGTCTCCTTATTCATATGGTAACATTTAAAAGAAATTGCTGCACTCCATTCGGTGAAAAGTTTCATGAACAATTGACGACAGATGTCCTTAAGGGGATATGAAAGTGGGATCCGAGGGGTCGATCGTTAATGAAAGTTTGCTCCGAATTGAGTGTACCGAATCGCTTCAAACTCTACAACGTGAATTTGGAGGCTACGAGGAAGGTCCTGACACCCATGAAATTCAATCGTTAATAAAAAATTTAAGAAATACCTATAAATAAATTTTTCAGAGAAAAATTTCATAAACGAAACCTCTGTGTCGCCACTTCTACTTTATTTTAACTAACAGGACCTAATTTACGTGACTTGAAATGTGCCGCTTAACAAATTTGGACATTAGAACATTGTCATCCTTGCAGTTATTAGTTCGAAAGGTGCAAGAATGTGTACTTTTGCCCTAAATGATGTATAACCTTTGTTACAAAGCAATATAAATATATTGAAATATATCGCTATAAAATCATAGCGAAGTGCGCGCGTTCGTACTTTCAATCTCGGCTACCTTGAGTGAAGAAATTATGACTAAAATTATGCCACCCGACTCCATCTAGAACTTCATCCATCTTGGTTTGCAACGCGAAGACGTAGGACTCATCTGTCAAACGTTTAGCTTGCGTGTGCCGCATTACGGGGCGCCAATCGATCATTTAAGTCTCTCGACAGTTCGTTGCTACCGAGCTGCCCACTCTTGCTCCGCAGCTTCGGCGAAGAAAGCTGCCAGCTCAAGTGATATTAAATTTCTACATTACTGGAATAAAACGATCGCTTTTACGTCGATCGAACGTCGAGGAAACTCAAAAGGATCGGAGTGGAAAACTTTCGTAGCAGTCTTGAGACTTTACAGGCATCAGAGAGACATGATGAAGTCCGTTTGAGGACGTCCACCACTCCTGCAATTTGCATGGCCTACGGAGACAACGATTTTGAGTGTATTTCTCAACCGATCGAATTCAATGAGTACTCGTTTTAAAGATAAAATGTTGACGTGTGTTTATGTGGGAGCGATTTTCGATAAGAGGTCATTTTAATATAAAAAAAATGCAACGACATAATTTGTGTACTCTTTTACCTAGGAAGGAGGTGCTTAATCGAAAATCGCTTCTATATAAATACACGATAACGTTTTATCTTTGAAACGAGTACTCGTTGATATCGATCGGTTGAAAAATACGCTCAAAATAGTTGCCCCCGTGGAGAATCGATCGAACTTCGAGGAAACTCAAGAGGATCGGAGTAGAAAACTTTCGTAGCAGTCTTGAGACTTTACAGGCATCAGAGAGACATGATGAAGTCCGTTTAAGGACGTCCACCACTCCTGCAATTTGCATGGCCTACGGAGACAATGATTTTGAGTGTATTTCTCAACCGATCGAGTTCAATGAGTACTCGTTATAAAGATAAAATGTTGACGTGTGTTTGTATGCGAGCGATTTTCGATAAGAGGTCATTTTAATATAAAAAAAATGCAACGACATAATTTGCGTGCTCTTTTATCTAGGAAGGAGGCGCTTAATCGAAAATCGCTTCTATATAAACACACAACATTTTATCTTTGGAACGAGCACTCGTTTATATCGATCGGTTGGGAAATACGCTCAAAATCGTTGTCCCCAAACGGCGTTCACGTCATTAATCTACACGATTTGATGGAGCTCCGAATGAAACCGGACCAGATGCGCTAGGTGTAACATTTTTCTAAGACATTCATTGATAGACTGATAAAGACCCGAATAGATTCGCTTGATGAATAAATTGTTTTCAAGCGGCGCTAACCAGATCAAAATGAACCTCTTGCGCTGGAAATTAATTGTCAGATGCCCATCTCAAACTCGTCCAGAGAACTACAATCGATCATAGCACGTCATTTTCCACTTATAAGTAAATAACATTAAACGTAGCACGTCATTCCAGCGTAAGAAGTTAACTAGTTCAACCTAGCCATCGGAAGCATTCCTTTGCGGATCATCGCATGACCAGATCATCTATTCAAAGTCTGGTTTGAGTTTAGACTGTTTCAACATTACCCGGCCCGTTTTTTCGATTTTTCTCCCGCGGGATACGGAACCGACGTTGAACGCGAATTTCAGCTCGTTAAACTTATTAAAGGTAATACTTAATCGCATCGTCTCTTACCCTGAAGAAGGCCGCGGTGCTGCCGCCTTTAAGTGCTCCGTACTTAATTTTTGTTTGCTTCGCGAGATCCTCGGCGCTCTCGATAGGAGAATCCATTCTTTCCACGGTAAGAAAGGCGGCCAGATTGGCGGTGTACGATGAAATCATGATCAGCGTGAAAAACCACCACATCCCTGCCACCATGCGCGTGGAAACTGCCCTGCAATTCAAATGTCAAGAGTGCAGGTACATTGTGCCAATGAAATTTTCTTGTACTTAATCGGTTGCCCTATAAGTTCGTGCCTTTCTTTGTATTTAAAGATCATTTTAAGAAGCAAAATTTAACGTTATTATCGTTTTAAAAATTTAGCTGTTGCGACCTCTTTGAAAAGCGTGTTTTCAAGACGAGTATACTCGTCAAAAACAGCTGACCAGTTAAAGTGGCATGTCTTAAACAAAATCGCTTTCTTTGCTCTCACCTAATTCAAACCGGAGAATCTAAAGATAAAGGTCATCATTGTAATATAAAATAGAAAGAATGACGAATATGCATATATTTTAAGACGTTATTTTCTATTATCTTTCATTACTCGTCGACAGGGATTGCATGTCTTAATCTGCATAATATCGAGTATCTGTAGACAAAATTCAGACACGATGACACATTGATTGATAGACGTGAAGTGTTGAAAATTTTACTATGTTGCTGTATACTCAAGAACGTGTGATAAGTTGAAGCCGAATAAATTGATCGTTCTTTTATAGACCTACAAATTATCAAAAATGTGTACGTATTAAACCTATTATCGTTATTTCTTGAGAGCTGTCCAACATTCACTGTATCAATTATTGTAAAAGTGAGACTTTTTCCAATTCGTCCGATTTTCCCCAGCATGCGAATAATCTCTTATCATTTTATTATAACTTTTGAATGTAATTTTCTTCCTTCTGAGAACATTGTTAAAGATAAGACATGGACATCCATGTCTGGCTCTTACAGTTTTGCAGAAAACCACATCAAGCGTTTGTTTGACGTTACTAACAAGTAAGTTATAACATTTTCATGATACTACTTAAAAGTTAGCATTAGTTTATTATTAAAGAAATTTCGGTAATTCTTAAAATTTCTTGAAATATAAAAATTGTGCATTACAATAAGCATACATAACAATGCGTCAGATATGATTAACCATATCATGATAGCTAATAATGTCAATGTTGAAAAAATATAATAATCATAAGCAATAACTAAATCGACATGCCTCGGCTCATGTGCAGATACAACTTATTATGAGTATACGAAAAAGTAATAATTACGAAAATAAGCTATCGTTATCAGACCAGAAAAACATAATAACGCTACATCGTTGCTGACTCCGCCTCTTCACCTTTCTGGAAATTGAGTGAACTTGGAAGATTAGTTCCTCGATCATTATTAGCTACTTCAGCCATCGAATATTTCGAGGCAACCTTTTGCAACTTTCCCACGGAGAGGTAAATCTTATTTCTTTTGTTAGTTGTATTTATAGTGCGTAATTTGAGGGCTTGTTCGCTGATATGTCGGTGTCTCAAGTTACATGCCTCCCCATACAATATATGAGTATATATTTTATGACTTTGTATAATAGATTTTAAGAACTCGAAAAACTTGAGATTATATTATAATGAAACTTCAATCAATCTTTGCAATTACTGCAATTATAATTCTCTATCCATTCAGTTGTAGTACTGTATTGTTTCTTACGCGCTCCTCGTCAGAAGTTTCACTTCCAACACGGGTGACAACCGCTCTCCAATTTTAATCTGTCACAATACACTAACCCCTTAAGGTGAAGCGAAACCCCCTTGAATCAGTCGATTCGAATAAAACACTTTTTTTTAATAGTATTGGTCCGAACTGTTCGAAACTTTGACACGTGACTCGTGATCACCTAAGAATTGTCCCGACACTTTCAAAATTCGGATTTTCGAACAAAAATTTGTAACTTAGCATAGACCAGAAACAAAATGACGTCGAGCTATCGTATTTCGATCGACATACAATTATTGAAGGCTCTGATATGAAAAACGAAAGTGTCGGGACAATTGTACAACGATTTAAAACACTGCACTTGAACGGGATAAAGGCAAAAAAGTGTCTTATGAGCTTCTAAGCTAAAACGAAGGTAACACGAGGAATGGGAGACGAAATTTAGTTCTCACTTAAGTGACAGATGGCATAAGGTGATACTCTACAGTCAAGGGCATCAAAAACCATGAATCCAGGGGATTTCTGGAGCTTTACTTCTATTTCTTTACAATTATTCTACGAAAACGACATATGGCGTATTCCATAGAATTTCATGAGTACATTGTTTATGTTCTGTTGAAAAATCAGTATCTCTCAGTCCTACCTGTATCGCCGTTCAGATCCACAAAGTATATAAAACTTTCCTAAGTCAGAAATTAAACTCCGTGATAACACCAAACGGTAGTTACATCCAGCGTTTCCGTACTAAATATCAATAACAAAAATGCCCTTAAGGCGAGGTGAAAGTGGCGTCAAAAAGGTCTCGTTTATGAAACTTTTCTCCGAACTGGGTATACCTAATCGTTGTAACTGTATAACGTGAACACGGAGGCTATAAAAAAGATCGACACCCATATCATTTCAATTTCTTTACATTTGTTTATTAATATTTTCAAAATATTTTATTAAAAATGAAATTTCATCAGAGTCAGGATCTTCCTTATGGCCTCCATATTCACGTTGTAAAGTTTGAAACGATTCGGTATAACCAGTTCGGAGAAAAATGTCATGAACGATTATCTCCTCAGATGCCACTTTCACATCCCCTTAAACGGTGAAATCTGTCTCTCGCAAGAAATTTCGTCGTATATACGGTTGCAGAGCATTCCACCTTCCTGCCCTGAGACATACTGCAAAATGAACTATTGGTCAATGTCTGTGAACGAGAGATTTCCAAAAGGTGAAGAAGCCTAAGCGTGCACGGGCTACCAATCCGGGAGACGGTCTACAAATACGAGGCATGGGGAACTACCACTACCACTAAAGATACCAGAGCACTAACGTAGGCAATTGCAGCAGCAAGCCTACGATATAGCATCCGCACCCTACCCCGTATGAGCAGTTTCTGCCGAGGGTCGATCTAAACGTTGGCTGACCTAGACCTAGGCAAACGCAGCGGATCTCCTTAAGGGCGCTCACCACTCCACCGATTTTGCAGGGTCTCACGAGGACAACGATTTTGAGCGTATTTCTAAACCGATCGAGCTGAACGAGTGCTCATATTAAAGATGAAGTATTGACCTGTGCTTATACGAGAGCAATTTTCGATAAGTGGTCGTTTTCATACAAAAAAGTGCTACGACATAATTTGAATACTGTTTTAACTGGGAAGGAGCTGCATTATCGAAAATCGCTCCCATATGAACACACGTCAACGTTTTATCTTTAAAACGAGCACTCGTTGAACTCGACCGATTGAGAAATACGCTCAAATTGTTGTCCCCATGGAGCACCCTTTTCATGATTTTCGGATTCCCCGCGAGAAATTTCAGCTCTCCTTGACAATCATTGCCGAATCTAGGCGGATCGTCCAACTGGCGTGTGTGGGCATCGGGTGACACGCACGCTTCGACGTCAAGTCAGAGTCGTCTAGCCGTTGCGTGAGTCCTATACGTGTAAGGCACGCACATATTCTTCGACCGTCGCTAAACACAGCCCATTACGCGTCGCGTCTCCCTCATCCGAGCGAAAAAGTACGTTTTGGTTACCTCCCACCGAATTCGATGCTAATGCCATCTAGCGGCGGATGTCATCGTCCCCATTTTGGTGGTGAACGCCGTTAACGGCAAAATCGGGTCTGCTCTTTGGTACCGAATCCCGAACCGGTAGTCCAATCGGTAGTTTATTGTTGAGAGAACTTACTTCGGAGCTATACTAGAGCCTTGCTGCATGAGCGAGCCTATGGTGAACCAGAGCGAGTTCAGCAGCGTGAACTCGTTCTCGAGGACGTCGGACTGGGCGTTGCACGGATGGGGATTCTCCCACTCGTAGGGGCTGAACCTGCGGACACGTGAAAGGAATGGGACGGGATTAGAATCTCAGAGCCGTAACTCGTACCACCGACATAGGATCGATAGGTCATCATCATCAATCGACTTTTACCATTAACACGTTAAGTACCCGGCCCGTTTTGATTGCTGTTCCGTTCAGGCCCAGACTTGGTCGTCAAGTGGACCACAACCGACGGGCGAACCGAAGAATGAATAGAAGTGTTAGGAACCGTGGTTAGCCCGCCGAAATATCGACTCGAGGCCCTTGTTCAAGGCAAGGAAAAAGAAATTGTCAGCAGTACAACACTTCGGCATCATTCAATGAAAAAGGAAGGCCCAGACTTGGTCGTCAAGTGGACCACCACCGACGGGCGAATCCAAGAATGAATAGAAGTGATAGGAACCGTGGTTAGCCCGCTGAAATATCGACTCGAGGCTCTTATTGAGGGCAAGGAAAAAGAAACTGTCAGCAGTACAACACCTCGGCATCGTATAGTGAAAAAGGAAGGCAGTGCGAATAAAATTAGGAGATACTACACTGAATGTTAGAAAAGTAATTCTCAATTGTTAGGAAGTTAGTACAATTTTTAACGAATGTAAAATGAATCCACTCCTTTGTTTACGTTGTTTCAATAAATTACATTGACTTTTCTGTATTATATTCTTTTTCTTCAGGCATTGTCTGAAGAAAAACCAATGTCACCTAAGCGAAATCTTTAGTCTCACAATCAGGATGCAAACGCAGATCCGCGCGATGCTGTAACATGAACATGAAATCTCTCGTCGGTCCCTACGGACCGGTGTTACGGTGACTGAAAACAAAGTCATTAAGTAAAATTGGCCAACAGTGAATTAAAAATCTTTAAAATCTCTGAGGTATTTACTTAATCAAAAATATTGTGGCTATTATCGAGTCACGTCCACTTTGCAATCACTTCAATGCCCAGAGTTCTAAAAAACTACTGACTCAATTTTTGGCATTGGAGAGAAAAGTGTTTTTTACAATTACATGTAAGTAGGAAGAAAACGCAGCATATATGTAGAAAGTGTAAACTTTTTTTAAATACATGAAAATTAAATATTTATCAAACGGAAATTCATATTGCTGCAACGGACCTATTAATATTCCCGAATAAGAAACCAATATTTCCTAACTGTTTTATTTAACTAAATGAAACGAAACCCGGAAAATAGGATGGGCAACTGCAGTCATAGATGTAAAATTAAATCAGAATGTATGTATTATATTGAGGTATAAGTCCCCGCCGTTTTCAAGGTAATGTAACGTACACTGATAAAAATCGATGGCAATTTACATACATTTTTACACACTTCAAGACTTAAGTTTCACATAGAGAAACGTAAAATGGAAGAATTACAGAGTAGAAAATGTATAAATACCCCTAACAATTTATATTTATCGTATTGGGGTATATCTACTTGAATTTAATGTAATATTACATTACAATTTTCCATAATTTAACTCAGATGCTGAATGCGATATTACAGAGACAATGTAATTTCGCTGTAATTTATCGTGGCATCAAAATAACTAATGATTGAGTATATAAATTCACATGGACATTTTTATCAGTGTAATTAAAACTGCGGGAATTTATTCCTCAACCTAATACAACGAAATATGTAAATGTCTGAATATGGAAATGAGAAAAGGTTAACGCTTTTAGACTTAGCAGCAACCGTGTACATTCATGTGTTCCATGAATTATCCTTGAACGGGGAAGTTCAGAGTACATGTCCTTAAAATACACAGCTTGCAATTGTACAACGTACAACGTACCAGGTCGAGCACCTTGTTACGACTCTGAGGCCCATGGGCGATGATCGCGTACATGCGTGTTCAGCAAAAAAATAAAATTTCAGATATTACAGACAGGTGGCAGCGTTGGTCGTGCGAGCAAAGTCGGCATGCATCGGGATGACACTGAGAAATTGCCCTTCATGCCAGAAGTACTCTCGAACCACCTGCTAGAACTCAATCGAATAAATCCGACAAGGTGTCCCTATCGCGCGAAGTGGGCTTACTTGGGCAGGATGTCACAGCCTTGTCGCATCAAGGAGCCAATGGTGAACCATAGACAATTCAGCATCTTGAAGCGATTTTCCAGATGGTCCGGATCCTTGTTACAGGGGTGCGGGTTGTACCATTCGTACGGTGTGAATCTAAATCGAGGAACCTCATGGGAACGTTCTAACACGACGGCCTAATTCTGACTCTTGAGGTATACTCATCAGGAACCATCTTTCACGAAAAATCCACTGATCTATACAGGGTTTGTCCGAAAAGTAATGTCAATGATTCATTTGTAAAGCGACCATACTTCGCAGCGCGCTTGGACAGGTTGGGATCGGTGGAGCGGGAAGGCAGCTTTCGACCGCGTGGTCGCACAGTCGTCGCCGACCATTCGGAAAGTAAGGACAGGCTTTTCCGTGAAACGCGTTTTCGTCTCCCGTGCAAGCCGTAATGCAGCGCTCGTTGGAACATGACAACGCACCACCCCGCCTTCCTCGTAACCCGCTTCCTGACCGATTCAAAGGTGCCAACGGTTCCCCAGCCGCCCTACAGTCCTGGCGTGGCTCCCCCAGACTTTTTTTTGTTTCCTCGCTTGAAAACTCCCATGAAAGGACATCATTTCGGGACAGTTGACAACGTCAAAGCGGCTTGCACCAAGGCTCTAAAGGACATTCCAGAGGAGGCCTCCGTGCCGCCTTCGATGCCTGAAAATCTCTCTGGAAGCGATGTATCGACGGAGGAGGAACCTATTTTCAAACCTTTCAACGTGTTGTATCGATCCGATCTATACATTTTTTTAAATCGACTCCCTGACATTACTTTTCGGACAAACCCTGTATACTAACTGGATAACTGATACCTATTTGTTCTAGGTACTACATAGGTAACGGATGCGCATGTGCAAAAGTTTTGAACGGTTAATTCGCAGAGGTAAACGTTTAAGGTATAAAGAGCAGAAGAGACAATTTATGTAAAAAATAGTGCGTTGGGCATATCGTAAGAAAGCTTCGACCAAAACAAACCGGTTATCTCTTTCCTTGTAAGTATTTTAATAAAAATGTCAATTATTTTAATCCAGTTAATTAATTTGACACCTCTTATACTATCTATGGTTGAATGACGCGTTGTTTTGACGCATGCGCAAATACTACAACGTTAGTTGATGTGCCCATGACCAGAGGCGCTATGGTCGCTTCAAAAGCGTTTCTAGGATATCAGTTATCCAGTTATTATACAAGGTGTAACAGAAATGGTGGACATGGTTAATACAGCACTATTCTTGTTGAAAAAGTAGCCGAAAAGTTCTGTACTATTTTTTCCTACAATGAATAATTTGCCTGTAATAACCAATTGAAGCTCAGTCAATCAGTCGCATTCCCCAACGGAATGTATAGTAGAAAAGATGTATGTAAGGCAATATACGCTGCAAACATCCGAACACAGCCTTACAGGCGGTTTTTCCGCTATGCTGTGGCGGTCATAGCATATGTATATTAGAAGTTCTTCCTTCGACACGGGCCTTCGATAGCCCAGCGGTTACGCTCACCGCTCATACCATGTAATCTCTCGGGTTCAAATCCCACTCAGGAGAGATTTTTCGGTGTCTAAGGCAGGGTCTGCCTGATAGCCTTACTGACGAGTCCACACAGGCAGACCCGGGACGAAACACAACAAACAGGGCACACACTACCATCACCCCACACACGAGTGCCAAAATGCATTCCGTTGGGGAACGCCATTGATTGGCTGTGCTTCAATTAGTTATTAGAGAAAAGTTATACACTGTAGGGGAAATTAGTACAGGACTTTTCGACTCCTTTCTCAACAAGGACAGCGCTGTATAAACCGTGTCCACCGATTCTGTTAGACCCTGTATAGATCAGTGAATCATTTGTACACTTTGCTAAGAACTCTAAACAAACTCGAGTTGGGTAAAATTTCGTGATGTTCCAACTTCGAGGAAATCGACTACATATTGTGCCTTGTTTTGGAGTAGTTTCAGAACATTAAAATACCTCTGACATTGACCTGTATTAACCACATTATTTTTTAGCTTAACATTACTCTTGGACTACAGACATGCTATTTTAATAAGTAGATACCCGCGGTCTCGGAGACCACATTCATTTTTTCACTATATCATGTAAATAATAGTTAAACTGTATGAATGTTAGACTTTTAGAGAAGAGTAGTCATTGTAGTAACCAAATAAAATTGATGAGAGTTTGTATTAATAAAAAGTGCGATGAAAAAGTATGGAAAAGGACCTGGATGGGGTGTATAGTAGGATCCATCGGGCCTGTCATTCTAGGTGAAGGTTAAATAGTTAATACAGTTTACTAAGAACTCGGAACAAACTCAGGTTGAACGTGATTTTACGATAATTTAACTTCAACCCAATCAATTAGATATGCATTACTTTGGAGTAGTTGCAGAACATTCCAGTACCTGACATTTACATGTACCACGTTCTTCTTCACTTTGACGTTAAAATGTTTATACATTTTGCCAAGTACTGGGAACGAGCTAGAGTTGGACATGATTCACGATGTTCTAAGTTCAATCCAATCAATTAGATATTATTCACAATTATGAAGTTATTTTGTAATATTTAAATAACTCTGATAATCACATCTAACCATATGCTTCTTCATTTTGACGTTAAAATGTTTATAAAGGTTGTTTAGTACTGAAAACGAACTAGAGTTGGATATGATTCACACTGTTCTAAGTCCGACCCAAACAATTACATATTATTCATAATTATAATTTTATAATATTTCAATAACTCTGATAAACACATGTAACCACATTGTGCTTCTTAACGTCAAACTGATCATCAATGTATACTTTTTTAGCAGTTTCTAGACACTCAGTTGTATGTTTTTTATTTTCCCTTCCATTATATTCTCGATATTTTTCGAAAGGTTATTAGAAATTGTTAAGTAATTTACCGCTGAAAGTATTGAATTTAATCATGACAAAGGACAGTTTTGGTTCTGTAAATATACTGCAGATTCAAAGTCGTCTACAGGTGTCAAAGTAATTCATACATGAAATGATCGCTACAAAAAATTGTTTGAAAACAAATTGGTTTCATCTTTAAAGTGGAGAGCCGTGAGAAGCCAAAAATAGAAAGGAACTATAAACTATGAACTGTGAATGTAACTTTATACTTGCCTTGCAAGGATGAAGAGAAGAACCGAAACTCCAAGGTAAGCAGTTGCCATGTAGATCCAAACATCCAAACTCAGGGGACTTAGGAACGAAAATAAATTCGGCGGCTGCTTGATCGGCTTCCGGTATAGTATACTGATTCCTAATGGAAACATTTATATTATTGTTCAAACAATAGAGACGCTTAAGTTATAATAAAGTCCAACGCATTTTACGTATTGAAGATATTTCAAGAAAAAGAACTCTCCCACTACGCCCACTATTGACAAAGCAATACGCGTTTACTTTCTTCAAATGAAGCGTTCAATAATTTGATTTATAAACTTTCCAGTTCATTAAAAATATTATTTTGATTTTCAATACAGCTATTCAGCTTGAAGCATAACTAAGAGCGTTTGGTCCAATGTTGCCTGCACGCATCGATGAATTTCGCCCATACGTCGAAAGGGTTTCGTAGCCCAATGGTTAAGAATGGTAAGTTAGGATCATGCTCACCAAGATTCATAAACGGCATAGTAAAGTCGACTGCTTGTTCGCGGTCATAGGTGATCGTAAGATCGGCGATCGCCAGATCAGCCTTCTGGTCCAATAGCTCCTTTATCATGCCATCCCACTCCTTAGTCTCTTTGTTGAAGGAACCATAGCGGTCATCGGGCACCAGGCGAAACGTGTAGTTGAAGCCAAGGATTCGAGATATTTCGTGGATCAAATCGACGCTGTAGCCCTCGAATTGCGCATTTCCTGTGAGCTTTTCACTCGAAGCCTTGCGCATACAGTACGGCGAGCTCTGTGAAATCGATAAATCGGTGAGTGTGCCAGACAAGTTGGAAGAATTGCTGCATGTTCGCATTATAAATTATACCTACAAATTGTAACGACTCGATACGCCATGTGCGAATATTTCTGCTAGACAAGGATTGATACGATATTTCATACATCGGACTCTAAACCTACGCAATCGCATGATACATTTCCTTCTTGCACCTAACGGAAGTACTTGGAGCTTTAATCCAGGAACGGTCGGACAGGGCCGATATATTTGACCAAATTCTTCGTGCTTGCGCATTGAACTTTCTAATGCTGATAGACGACAGCATTTTCGCTTTCAGTAGTATTATTAAAGCGTTTGTTGAACCAGTGATTTATTTTGTACAGTTCGGGTGCCAATGTAGGGATGGAAGTATAAGTCTATTTATGACGGATATTCTTTTCCTCGGTACCTGTGAACTTTCTGGCACTCAGTGAAACTATAGAACTACAAACTCTTCTGCATATAATTACATTATATTACGCCTCGGTTGTCACACCGTGCATGCCATACCTAAGCTGTGTCAAGAATGTTCCGTATTTTTAAGGATGGAGGAGGAAATGGCTAACTTATTTATAAATCCTAACTCTTGCTAGTGTCAATGAGTTTGCGTTCGAGCTACTCGCGAACACGGGATTGATTGAGCAATGCCAGGTGCGAAATTCTTAACGAGACTTAAAGTTTATTAACACCAATAGTCTTCAACAATAAAATAGGCTTTAACGACAAAACAAACGGAGCGAAGTTACTAAATCAGGAGATTAATTTATGCGATGTTACTATCAACTAGAGCACTAGAGGTACCTCCGAGACAGGTTGTAGGGACCTCTTTTGTGGAAGGAAAGTGGGAGATCAGAAACTCTCTCGGACGAACCCATGAAAATCGATGGAGGAACGCCAGCAGCTTCCGACAAGCAAGGAAGCTGAAGAAAAAAGCATCAACAGAGAGAACTAAGGAACTCCTGGGTATAAGGATGGAAAGACTAAGGTTGGCCATAGGCCTCCTTGCTGGGCATATTGCACTACGAGCACACATGCACAAACTTGGATTGTCTGATCAATCCAACTGCCGACTGTGCGGCGAGGATAGGGAGCACAGCATACACATTTTATGTGACTGCCCTGTCCTGGCGTGTCGTAGATACCAGGAACTAGGGAAAATATTTTCGGATCCCAGCGACCTGCAAAACCTGAGGGTGGGCAGCCTAATCAGCCTAGTGAAAAGAGCAGGGCTGGGGCTAGCGGATCGGCCTCAGTAAAGCAGCGGGAAGCTACAAAAGATCCCTAGATCTAGGTGGCAGAGGGAAAAGAGCCCAACCGCAGCGCTTAAACCTAATCCTAAACCTACTATCAACTATCGCGATTGAGCGGACCACTAGCTCGAATGGACTTAATGATTGCTAAGGCAATTTAGCGGTTGATTGGAGGATACTGAAGACTTAATTTTTCTCATGGGAGATATTGAGAATCCGATTCGAAAGCAGAGCGATAGAGGTGAGAAGCCTCAGGATGCTGGGCTTGAGGGCAGAGTTTTTAGGAACGTTATCGTGGATAGGTCAAGACAACGTTCGAATGCATTTTAAGAAGGAAGATGATTGGATGTAGGATGTTGAGAAGGGGAAAAGTTTATGCACCTGTATCTACTTGAGTCTCGACTGATAAACATTTTGAAGCTCCTTTGCTGTTGCCGAGCCTTTAAACCGATGACATTTCCTTACGCTCGTAGGAAGCACTTCAAGATTGGTTAAAATGTCGTTAATGGCAGGTTAACGACGCTAACGGCGTGGATGTCGTTCCATACCGGCAACTTCTGGCGATGATTATCAAATATATGGCTCGTAAAGGAACGTCGTATCGAAACGTCTCATCAGCAAGAAGGTGATTTTGGTACATACCGGAGGAAGCGAGAAACAAATGACGGTCTTTTGGAACTAATACCCTGTTAAAAACATTGACAAAATTCATGCACTTTCGGTACACAAGGTTGGTGTAAAATTATGAATTTAACGTCTTAAGAGTAAATTCATTTACATTTATTATTTTCTGAATAAACTTATAGTTTCCTAACGTCGCGTTATAATTGTGTAGGAAAATTAACATATTTGTGTACCAAATGTTTAACATATACAAATTCATAGCATATATTTATAAAGTATATAAATTAAATGTCATAAGAGAAGCATGCCATATCAGAAACAAATCTGAAGAAGAATGTTATAAAAGTACGACATATTCTTAGCAGGGTAAAGTTATGAATCTTCAATTAACAATCGATTTTTCCTTGATGGGAGTTTCTGAAGAAAATGTCAATGCAATCGGTAGGCCGATTGTTGTTCTCTAGAGAATAAGGCATACACGTTTACCAACACGATGCATAAATGAAATAAACGGAAGCAGGAACCACCATCCAATTTGTAATGGCGACTGACGGCCGTCAAAATGACGGAACGAGGTCGATTTTGTTAGGGTAAAATTCGAGCCAGGCGAAACACGGAGGAAGCGGTTTCGCGAGCGAATGGATTAAAGTTAAGCGAGGACAGAAAGTTAGTTTTAGCCAGGGCGAGTTTCGTTGCGCCGCGTTCGGATGAAAAATTGTCTGGGCTTTTCTGCCGGTGACTCTACCGACACCATTCGGGGGGATAGCAGCGAGACGGCGTTTAGTTGAAAATGAACTGTAATGCGAAACTCGCACCCTAGTTAACGGCGCAATGAATAAATGCTAAAGCCAAGAGAGGTATGCCGGTCTCGCAGTTACTTCTGGGCGACATTATAGAGGTAAAAGTTTTTACGAGATGCCGAGAGTACAGTTAGGAAAAGTTGCTGCTTTATTCCGAAAGTTTCAGCAGTTCATACGTAAGTACATTACTTGTCGCCGCAATTAGCGCGGGAATAACTTAATGCGCCGACGGTGCTCCGTGAAAACTTCAATTAAAGTCTTTCAGGTGTTTCCCGACACGGTTGCCGATTGTGTAGGCAGTTGGCAAGAATGTGATAACGCGCGTCCCTTGAGAAGGACAGGAAGGCAGAATGAAGAACAGGGAAGGGAAGGAAGTTCCGGAGAAGAAACGGAAGTGAAGAACGAGAGCCTCTTTGTACCTCTGGATTTCGACGAGACTTACCAGGATTGTAGTCACTATGAACGTCTTGTTTTGCAGACTCTCGACTATTTGCGTGTAGACGTCGCCGTAGCTCCTCGTGAAGTTTACGCCATCGGTGCTGTTCCAGATGCCTATCTTCTTCAAACCTTCTTTGCTGTTCAGCTCGATTATGTCCAAGACGAAGTCCGATCTGAAGCCCTCGTGGTCGAACTTGATGATTCCCGTCAGACCGATCATTTCTACCTAGAAAAGAAATTCTGGTACAGCATGGATACCTTCAAAAGTGTCATCTCATTAAGAGGATGCGGAACCTTCCGCCTGTTGCCGACTGAAAGACAATTTATGAGTTAACCCTTTGCACTCGAGGCCTTTTTCCCCCGGACGAACCAGCAACTCGAGACAATTTTCCGCATACCTGGTGAATTTCATCCAGCTAACTTGAAATGATTTAACGCACAAATTGACGTATAAAACTATTGTATTTTAATATTTTATGTATCCTTACATGCGAAAGGAGACAATTTTTAAATACTTAGGACTGTATTGTTGCTTTGTGTGGTATTTTATAAAACAATCGCCAGCATGCATCGTCGGCTTGTCGGAGCGATTATTGCAGTAATATGTTGTTTGATGTCTTTCGCCGGGCTTATTTCGTTGAGAGCAAACCTCGCAATCCTTCTTAAATCCTGTTAGAACAATATGTAGCTTTTCATTCAATCGAATTTCGTCGAAACTACAGGTCGAAGTAGAAGCTCGATCATGAGTTTGGCAGAAATCTCCTCTCAATGGGTCCAACAAAGTTTCTCCCATCCTGCAGATGACTAAGCGACTGTTCGTTTCTCTGTTTTTTTGTATTGATTTGTTAGAACGTTAGAACGTCGTTAGAACGACATGTAGCTTTCCATTCAATCGAATTTCGTCGAAACTACAGGTCGAAGTAGAAGCTCGATCATGAGTTTGGCAGAAATCTCCTCTCAATGGGTCCAACAAAGTTTCTTCCATCCTGCAGATGACTAAGCGACTGTTCGTTTCTCTGTATTTTTTTTTTTTTATTGATTTGTAAAGAATATAACAATTAATTGAACTCTAAACACCCCAAAAATAGCTTAAGACACCATTTCAACGACTTTCTTAGAAAACAGGACGTCTAGGGATATTGTTCCGCTCGATTAATGCCGCTAAATGCTTAATGTTAGATATTTCAGTTTATTCGTCATTTTCCGTAAAAATTCATTCTCTTCTGTCATTTTCAATTATTTTATTTTATCCATTACTTTCAAAAGTAGATATTTTTCGTGTGCATCAAAGTATAACCTCTCAAATATTTTATAACGATTTCGTAGTCACTCTTAAGCAATAATTTCGGAAAGCAATGGGTGTTAACAAAACGGATAAATTTCCATCAGCAAGGAACGCGTTTCTTTTCTTTTTCTTAGTTTTTTACAAAACACAGGGATGCAATTCAGAGGAAGACATGACTCTTGTATAGTCCTCCTCGGCCGGAGGATAAGGAGAAGGAAACGAATGTTTTCGTGGTCACAACGAGGCGCGCTTTTGTGCCCGACGTCTTTTCCACTGTTCTTCTTGTAAACGGCGCATTCATGATTTAAACTAGCATCCGACTAAGAGCACGGGCAGAATAATAAAAGAAAGAAGCCATTTTGAGTTACGTCTGCCGGTATTACTGGGCCAGGCGATGCGGCCTGTTCCGCGCAGACGATAAATTGCGGTGGGAAATTTGCGAGCAGGTGCACCTACGCGTTTCAACCTCGGACGTAAATGAAGCTCTATAAATTTCAATAGCGCACTTATCTCGCGGGTGGTTTCAACCGCGGGATCCACCATGGATTCGGCTTATCCGTTGGCCTCGTTAATCGCTGATAACCGTATTTGCCGCACACCACCCATTGCTCTTATCGTGCATATGCGAATTGCAATTCGGTCAATTTTCATGAATTAAAACCGATTCATTCCAAAACTTTGTTGACAAAAAGTCAAGGTCCACCATTCCGTGAATCAAAGAGTTCTCTTTCTTTGCCTATTCTTTTGTTAAGTAACTTTTTCATGTTAAGTATAGTAGAACGTTTAAAGAAAGCGAAAATGTGAAACGTAAATATGTTCGAATTATATATGAAAAAAGAGAAATTTGTACTCTTGGCAAGGAAGGGTATTGCTGATAATGTTTCATAGTTGCGAACATATGCGAATTGCAATTCGGTCAATTTTCATGAATTAAAACCGATTCATTCCAAAACTTTGTTGACAAAAAGTCAAGGTCCACCATTCCGTGAATCAAAGAGTTCTCTTTCTTTGCCTATTCTTTTGTTAAGTAACTTTTTCATGTTAAGTATAGTAGAACGTTTAAAGAAAGCGAAAATGTGAAACGTAAATATGTTCGAATTATATATGAAAAAAGAGAAATTTGTACTCTTGGCAAGGAAGGGTATTGCTGATAATGTTTCATAGTTGCGAACATATGCGAATTGCAATTCGGTCAATTTTCGTAAATTAAAACCGATTCGTTTCGAAACTTCGTTGACAAAAAGTGAAGGTGAAAAGTCAATGAAATGTTACTTAACAAAAGGATAGGCAAAGAAGTGATGTTGAAGAAAATACATCATTGAACCTCTGTGAATTTGTGTGCGAATTTATGAAATAACTCAATAACACGTTTTATTTTATTTCAACTTAAAGTGTAGACAACAATGGCAAAAAGGGTCTTAAAGAACAAGATGGCTTATTAGTTATTTCTACCTAAGGTGCCTTCAGGATTTCACCCCCGTCCAAGCGAATGTAATTTTTCTGCCGAGCAATAAGTCTCGCATATCATTCGGTATTTTTTTTTGCAATTGACATGACAAGCATTAGCGTGATCGACGCCACGATAACGGAAGGACCAATTTATCATGACGCTATCGAACCGATGTGCGCATTCGTTGGATCGAGTGCATCAGGATGTATCGAATGATGCACACTTAGAGTGATTGGCGTCCGTCGATATTCAATTGATATCAGGCGAGATCTCGACAAATAATTAAAATAAATAATAAAAATAATACGCGCTCGACAAATAGTCCCTGATATGAAAAAAACACCGATGGGTACATCTGTTAGATTGCATTTTAATGACTCAGTTAATGAGCAGCATAATTGATTGGTAAAAGGAACCTGCGATTTATGTTAGGAAATCAATAATGCATCTATAGTATAACAAGCAGTATGTTTTTTAAAATGACATGCAAGTGGGATCCGAGGGGTCAAATTATTTATGAACGTAGGCAATTGCAAGACAAAATATGTATTCAGCTACAATCCCAAACAATCTGATAGATGGACGGAAAATGTAAAAAACGATTATGTCTAGGTATAAATGAAATAAAATCCTGGGAGATAGGCACTTATTCCGAAAGCACCTACAGATCCTTCAATTTTATGTGTGCATCCAGATTTATATTTCTACTAAACTCAAGAGGCCACATTCGAAGTGAACGTTATAAGTGGAGGGACTCAGGAAAATTAAATCGTCCATCTTCGGTTAAAATATTGGAGACGAGAAATCGCGTAAAATTCCCTATGGCGTTCTTGGATACGAATGATATCCGATAATAAACGTCTCGATTTTATGAATCGACATACCCACGAAGTGTGCTCTTAAGTCAGTTTACGACGTGCTGTCCGCCAGGGCAGCAGATATTTTTACTGAAATCCAGCTTATTAATGGTAGAAACGAATTTACGATTCCAGTGTAATCGTGTCGAAAGAAATGTAGTGTCAGTGCCCTGTGCGATCCAATAAAGTTAATAGAATAAAAAAAAAGATGAAAGCGTTTAGCTATACGAATAGTCGTGTCGCCAATAAGGCAATAAAGATTAAGAATAAGACTAAATAGAAGTTAGAGTGAAATGTAATGTTTGTATGATTGTGGGGTGAAATGGATTCTGCATTTAAGTTCACCAAAGATGCATTCTTCAAGATTTTCTAACTAATTATACATGTTGCCAATAAAACGTGGGGAATATCTCTTTCTAAGCTTAACAACGGAACCCACTGATTGTCAGCAGAATTGCGATTAAAGGGGTAATTTGAATTTGTGGAATAATGAAGCAGAGCTTCGTCGAAAATCTGTCCGCGCGAGCTAGTAGTTTTGCCGAACGATCAACTATTTGTCCAGTAGAACGCGTTTCGTTTGTCACGCGAACATTTCCATTGTTACGAGGGAACAATTGCACGTGCAAAGTGAAGCCGCCAGTGGCGTCGCACGTGGCAGGGCTCATGGCGCTCATTAATAAACCAACAGCGAGATTAGGGCCGTTACGCGGCTCATTGCGTTGCCGAATGCGATCAAAGCCACCAATTCTGCCGGTATTAATTTCCCGGTAGCTGTGGGAACACACCCGACGATAACACCACTCGTAGGACGATGGACGCGGGAACCTGGTGCCGTGTAATCACAGGCGTTGGCAAGGCAAAACGTCTGCGTAAACGCACAGGTGCGATCCAAGATGGGTCTGCAGACACGACGCTATCGCCCCGCAATTATTTATCCCAATGGCCGGCAAATGTTAATTAACTCGGAATCGATGGCTCATTCCGGATCATCCTCCAGCAGCCCTACTTCCACTGGGACTTGCACGCAGAAGAGTAATATTGTAATCATTACATATGCTCGCGGGTAAAAGTATCGTTGTAATCTTAACAACAATTATTGTAGATATAATTGCAATTTTTTGTCCTTTTAACCATTGGGGCTGTAGCACCAACTGCAGAATTCTTGGAAATAAATTGTAGTTATATTTGCAGCTGACAGGGTTATGCGTATAATATTGGAAAGTAAAAATTACACGTACGAAGGCACGTGTAAAAATGACCATCACAGTTGTAAAATTTAAAAGCAAGAGAATAGATGCCTAAACTGTCACATTTTTGGTACGGATAGATGCCTTTTGGAGATTACTCCATTTTGTAGTTTTTTCTTTTTAGTTTTTTGTAGGCAACGCGGAGTATTTAAAGATATTTACTCTAAGATAGTCTATTACAGAATGCCGAGACGTTACATTCGAAAAGTAGATGTAGGAAATAAATGTTTGTTCTAACGTATATGTCTACGTTAAACAATTAAAACTATTTTTGTTAACTTTGCTAAGATTAAAAATAGGATTTTTCAAACAAATTGATTATTATTTGATTTATTCTCTCACAGGGCATCTATCCGTTCTCGCAAAGGCATCTATCCCACCCCTGTGGGATAGATGCCCAAATCGCGACTTTTTTTTATTTCTCTTCTATTATAATAACTATTGATCCTGGGCAAATAATTGTAGAATATAACGAAGATAAAATATGACGGCATGATATGGACATGGAATTGTTTGGAAACGAAAGCAAATACTGTTAAGATCAACATGGCAAAATCAATTAGCGATTGATAAAATTATATCGAGTCACAGAGACCCTCGAGCAGCCCAGACGACCCTTCGGACATCCTGGCTCCTGGCCGTCCGTTAAGGGTAAAAGGCGATCCTCGAACCTCCGGGTCAGGGTATTCTTCCCTAGCGACCTGGGTGTTCCGCTCTTTTGAGTCCACGTCTGCCTTCTGTCACATTCTCATATGTTTCGCATCATCCGGTGACTCTCTTCGCCTTCTCGATCACATACGCAATTAGGAAAATTTATCTCTTCGGTCATTTGACTCTTCTTCAAGTCTTTCCTAAAACTTCTCGTCCTGTAGCCCATTTCGGCTTTCCCCACCTACGACTCCAAAAGGGCATAACTTTCCCTATTCCAGAGTTCCTACCACCAATCGCCTTCAATTAGTAAATGCAACCCCGCTTTCCTTAAACCTATCAGAGTTGCTCCGTCAAAAAACTCCACCTTCGAGGACAGTATCCTGAAGCTCCTCTGTACCGTTGGTCCTTCGAGAAAAACAGATTCGATTGAACAGTCGCCTGGCCAGCATCGTCCCGGCATCTTAGATTCCTTCGGTCTCCCGTGCGACTTTACGCGTCCGCGGTATTTCCGAGATCCTACCAATATCTCCCACGAGAATCATCTTTTCTCCAGTTCGCAGAGATCACCGATGTCGACCGCTCCACTTTATGTGAGCTCCGAAGTTCTCACCGCTCCACCTTGTATCACGATCTTATATCGGCACCGCGTGAATTCAAGCATTGTATCATTGCTGTTCGTCGTCACATATCAGATAGTTATTATTCAGTTATTAAGTTGGATTTATTAATAAACCTTATTGTCACGGTTACTAAATTTGCACCCGACACCCCACTCTCTCCGTTGACGTTCGCGAGTCCACGAACAGTGTCGACATAGTTGGTCCTTCGCGCCGGATCATCATACGTACAAACAAATACCGACTTTAGAAGCATATGTTAAAAACGCAGGCTTTACCCTAATCCAGATTCATCAGGGTACTTACGACTTTCATGTAATTGATGAGGGAGTATCCGTGAGACCAGGTGTTCTCGTTGGAGTCGCAGGATAGCGGCGGAATCTTAATTTCCTGAGAAGTGTCCAAGACGTGTAGGGCTTTTGCGAAGAGATGCACCGCGTCGTAAATCAGGGCCGTTTCAGTCTGAAAAAAGTATAAAGTGTTATGCTGTCCATGAGAGAAATATTTACGTTCTAGTGATTGGATACGCGAAGCTAGGATTGTGTGTGACGGAACAATAAACGGAAACGTTGGTATACAACTAGCTTGCGGTTTCCCTGGAAAAGGGTTGCACTCCATATTGCGAAGTCGGGCCAGTCCAGCGATCGAATTTACGTCACACGGACCGTTTGGCGCAAAAATTCCTTTTCCATTACCCTGCCTCGTTTCAACCCCTACCGTCTCAAAGTTTACGAGTTTTCAAGAGAGGATCCAATTTGCAGTGGGAGCGCAAAAGGACTCGGCTCTCCGTTGACTACTCGAAGCTTCTGCAATGCTCTTTTCCGCGTATATGTGCATTTCGTTGTTTCGTTTTTCCTGAAATACGGTTCAGTATTCGATATGGTTAGATTCATCTGCTTTGAAAAATCCAATCAGCGAATACATGACATTCGAGATGAATTTAAGTGAATACACGTCAAAGCATCATATTTTTGTTTGATGTCTCGAAAATGTGTCCTGACATAAGTCTCAGTATAATTCCTCGAAGATAAAGTACCAAATACCACCACACCTATCGCAACCACAATTGCGTAGACGTTTACACGTAGAAGTACATGTGCATACGTTTATATGCAGAAGTACGTGTGCATACGTTTACATGTCGACGTACATGAACATAAGTTTACAGGCAGATGTACATGGACGTATGTTGACATGGAAAAATGTAATAAGAAGGGTGGTATGTGATGTTCGTCAAAGATTGGCTAGAATTTATTTGAACTTCAACATAAAATAACGAAGTATAGTGCGCGCGAGTACATTTTTAATTCATTTTACGGGACGCTCTAACATCCGGAATACAGGGACCCGATTCCCGAGTTTATACAATTAACTGTCGCATGCAAAATTAACAGTTTCATACACGACTTCTAAATGTTGACCAATGACGCGACTTCGCAACAATGTAACATTTTTCATGGGAATTTATTCGCATGCGATTAAAATTCGTATGAATTCGAAAATCGATCTCCTGCTGTCTTTCTTTCATTCATTACCTATATGGCCCTTGGATCGATTCGATTCTACCGATCGACTTCAGTATCCCGTTAAGGGAATGTGAAAGTTGCATCCGAAAACTGAATCGTTCATAAAACTTTTCTACGAACTGGGTGTCTCAAATCGTTTCATACTTTAAAATGTGAATATGGAGACTCTAAGGTAGGCCGTGAAATTCGCGAAATTTCATTTTTATAAACTATTTTTAAAATATCCATAAACAAATTTGAAAAGAATTGAAATTTCATGAGTTTCAGGACCTTCCTTATAGTCTCCCTATTCACGTTGTAAGCTTTCAAACGATTCGATAAAAAAAAAAAAAGTTTCATAAGCGAGATCTTCGCGTCGCCACTTTCACATCACCTTAACCTAATCTTAAGGTGATGTGAAAGTGGCGACACGAAAATCTCGCTTATGAAACTTTTTTCCAGAATAGGTATATCGAATCGTTTCGAAGCTTACAAGGTGAATACGGAGACTACAAGGAAGGTCCTGACACCCATGAAATTTTAATCGATTAACAATGTGTATGTAAATATTTTACAAATGTTGTATTAAAAATGAAATTTCATGGGTGCCAGGACCTCCCTTACAGCCTTTATATACACGTTGGAAAGTTTGAAATAATTCGGTACCCTCAGTTCGAATAAAAGTTTCATGAACGATCGACGCCTTGTATGCAACTTTCGCATCCCCTTAAAGTGTTTAGGTAGATTCTGATGAAATTCTGAACATTTGGAACAGAATTATTGCCTTTAAAACACTTCGCCGTGGAAGTATTCGCTCATCTCCCATTTGACTGGTCAGAAAATATCGTAGAAAGATCGCCAAGCATATTCTTGACGTTTTTAGGTAGAACGTCTCGTCTTCTCGTGACCGATATGAGAAAAATCAAATCAGAAGTACTGGTTCAAAAAACCAAGACGTGAGGAATGTGTCTAGTACTCGCGGATCGATGTGATATTTCGACGTTTGTAATTGAATTGGGACTCGTCGACAAGTGAACGGTGATTTAATTGTTAACTGAGCTATAGACGCCTAGCTGGGTGCAACGCTGATCGATTACAAGTGCGATGAAGAGTGATGCATAGCAAATTTAATTCCTTGACGGTCAGCCGCTGTTCGGCATTACTTTGAAGAAGCGATTTGCCCGTTTCATGTCATGTCTGATCCATTGAACAATGCTGTACGATTCCTTTACACTTTCACTGCCACTCGTACTTGGCATAGATAAATAACCGAGGACTGACTTCTAAGCATATATTATTACCCATTAAACACAAAACAGTGGGATATGCAATTTTATATACGTAGACATAGTGAAAATATAGTGTAATGAAATATAGTATAGTAAAATGTAGTGTTAATATAGTATAAATATGGTATAAATTACCAGAGCGTTTTAAATTGTCATACAATTGTCCTGCCACTTACGTTTCACATATTAGAGCCTTCAATAATTGCATATTGATCGAAATACGAGAACTCGACGCCATTTTGGTTCTGGTCTGGGCTAAGTTAAGAAATTTGTATCAATAATCGAAACTTTTTAAGTGTCAGGGTAATCACGTGTCACGTGTCAAAGTTTCAGACGGTTCGATCCGATGGTCTTAAAAAAAGTGTCTTATTCGAGTCGACTGATTTGAAGAGGGTTTCACTTCACTTTAAGCTGGAAAATGAACGCCTTCATAATTCGTACGAAAAAACGAAATTTTGGTACGTTTTTAACAAACCAGTACAGCAGTTGTGCCCTTCCTACGTCTTTTGTCTTCGCCGAATTGCCTCTCTCGAGAATGACTTAAACTTTCATTTACCACAGATGAGGACTTACCAGTTTAACGAAGGAAATATATCCGAGCATTTGTTTTAATGTCACGCGGTTCTCCGGGAAATGCTCAATTACTCAAACGTAGAGTAGCCATTTTGCAAAGACCGCCATCTCCAGGAAATCATAAGCGGAATAAAAAATTCTTATACAATTTGCAATTTAGAGTCATTTTGCCGAGGTGTGTCGTATTAAATGAAATAAAACGGCGTCATTAAGAGGAATTTCGTTCATTTTGAGAAACGATTCCAGCATTCGCGGCCCTGTTAGGGAATTGATCGAGTTCGGTTTAGTCGGCATCCCAGATCGATTTACGCAAACGAGTCTGGCTGCAATAGGATCAAGATCGAGCTCGTAAATGGGAAACGGGCCCTCCGTCGTAAACCCATAATTATTCGGATAAACTTCAGTCGACGTGAAGATTTCTACCTGCGAGTGTGCGTAGACCATGGCAGGTATCGCTCATTTGCATAGATCGTGCACATCGATATCTCGTTTCGCACTAACAGCCGGAGTAATGGAACTGGCATTATTCTCAGCGTTTGGTTACGTTTCTCGTCCTCTGTATGTTACTACTGTCGAAGGCAGCAGCATTGAATTTTTTTTTATCAACGAACAGATATTTAACTCAGGGGTGTCTAACCTTTCGGTTATCCGAGTCGCATAGAATGAACAGGAATTGTTATGGTCTGCAAGTCTCTACGTAGTATAAAATAAAGTCCTCGTGTTTGGTCGGGCTAATATCGAGAACTAGCATTGAATTTTTTTTTTATCAACGAACAGATATTTAACTCAGGGGTGTCTAACCTTTCGGTTATCCGAGTTGCATAGAATGAACAGGAATTGTTATGGTCTGCATGTCTCTACGTAGTATAAAATAAAGTCCGCGTGTTTGGACGGGCTAATATCAAGAACTACTGCGCGGATTTTTACGCGGTGTTCAATATTCTACGGAGCGTTTCTCGAGAAAGGTTTAGGTCATGAAGTAGTATAAGAAGACATAACGCCAATGGTCGGTTCCACAGAAAGCGACCCCAGGTCGGGACCTAGGATCTCAGATTTTCGCTGATCTAACGATGCCAGCGCTGTGCGGAAAATGGGGGAATTATATGACCAAAACATTTCCAACCGACGTAAATCATCTCAAATGATTTTACTTTTGTAATTAAGGTACGCTAATGGTCGGTTCCACAGAAAGTGACCCCAGGTCGGGACCTAGGATCTCAGATTTTCGCTGGTCTAAAGAAAAAAACAACTTAATTTGAAAACAAAGCGTTAAGTCTGCAATAACTTTTTGGACAACTTAACAAGTCATTATAAATCACATAATAATAATGAAAGTTTAAGGTTTTGTGAGGCCGTATCATTAGTTAGGCTTGACACCCCTGATTTAAACGCTAAGCTAACGAATAACTAAATTTTCGCAATTATTTGAAAGAAAGTTTTCATTATACGATGTTGAATACTTATTTAGAAGTGCAAAGGAAAACGTACGTTGCTCGGGAATGTCTTCAGCTACACTTTAATGTTAATGACATACTTAGCTTAAAGTCATTTAAATAAGAATTGTTGTTCCGAGTGTTTTTCAAACTTACCTTTAATACGGTGAGGTTGTTCTAATCCAGGGCAACATGAAACAGATAAAATGATCACCTTATTGAATACGATAACAGTATGATAGAGCTCATTGTTATTTACCCAAGCTAAATAAGTACACATACTCATTTATTACGTTTTTTCTTAATTCATAATCCAATAAAGAGTTAGTCGTAAATTAAATGCCTGTAAAGTAAAATCACTTGATCGGAGTTATATAATATTTTATAAAGTAGTTAACAAGAAATTGTCAATAAACTTTCAATTAACTGTTTCTAAAATATAAACCTGGAACTCTATTTAATATATGTTACTTGCACGTCCACCGATAATGCTTTTAAACGATATTTCAATATTAAATATTTCATTCTTTCCATATTGCGCCATTTCCAATGTTGACATTACATTATTTAAACATGTGATCAGTACCTTTCACTCTTAATATTGAATTATTCATCCATAAATTGAAATCAAACGATTCTCTAGTTCCACTTGTCTGTTAAATCTTCAGAATTGCACCATTAACATTAAATACTCGGAATATCTTTCGGCACACACAGAATCCTGGGAATGGCAGATATCGACAAGCCCAAAAAAAACGACATAAATTCTCGAGTCGAGATGGAATTTCAAAATTCTGAGTCCTTTCTCCATTATCTTCCCTCCTTTGTTGGAAGTGAAGTCCACCAACGCATCTTTAGGAAATACACCTTTGACCCTTTGACTACGGAACCCTTTCGACATATGGGCGAAATTCATCAATGCGTGCAAGCAACATTCGACCAAACGTCTTACGCCTTTTAAACGAAGTATTAAGACGAACTCTTATTTTTTAAGAATATTATTCCCTAGTGGACCGTTTGACTTTTTGCGAGACTAGTTATCTACATCAAGCCAGGGCTGAGATGATTTAAATAATTTGATTAAAAACACGATTTGTTGATTATGGTCAACTGATTTTTATTTTTTTAATTTTTTTTAAGTCTCGTTCTTTTTAATCGTCTAAGTGCCGCTCAGGGTGATTACAGTATTTGTGCTGTTTTATCAGAGAATTCTACCATATAAAACCACGAAAAACACTACCCAGTGTTGTCAACTTCAGTTACGTTTATTGTAATACAGTCGGATTAAAATAATAGTACAAAGTAAGAATTTTAAATATTTAAATATTGAAATTCAATTTTTGCCTGTATTTAAAGAGGAAAACAATTGCAATTCGACATATTAAACAATTACTAGTATCGAATGTCCATAGTTATAGTTTCATTTTCTACGGAAATAATTATACAATTCGCGGGCTATTATTGTTCTAAAAATGCATACTACAACGAACTAAAATAATAGTACAAATATTATGATAATAGTACGGTTGGCAGCACTTACCCTACTAATAATATACGTTACGATTCATTAGTATTTCATGTTGAATATTTGTAATCATATTTATAAAAAGAATAATATATAAAAGTGTTGCAAAACCATGTCACTAGGATCTTTGAGGCTTAAAATGAAGATGAAAAGTTTTAATTGTAGGGTTTATTTGCAATAATAAAATGCAATCTGTCTGATCTGAGAACAATGAAAACAATGAGAACTTCTCTATTTCAAGTTGGAGGTGATAGAGAAACATCGGGTGTTTCAAAGTGTCAAATAGCAAATCCAGCATTAATTTTCTGTTTCCCGCAAGAACCTCATGTTTTATAAATGCACTACGGGAAATCCGATTCTAAGGAAGCAGTGAGGGAGTAAAAGTCGGAAAGTAGCTTTAGTGTTCCTTGAGTTCCAAAGAGACAAGCATTAGAGCGAAATCCACGTCGATCTCGGTAACTTTTTTAAGTACAGTATATAGCATAAAACGTTGGAGAGGAAAAAGAAACCACATTGTACGTTCTTACCCCATTGTCTGGAAGTAATACGTACGTCAACTTAATTATAAAAAATAAACCAACAATCATGAATAAACGTCGTGGCACCATTGATTAAAAGGGTAATTCGTGGCATTGAAGGTTAATTTATACCGAATCAATGTACACTGTTTCCTCGTATTTGTGCAATTTTTAGGTTGAAACTCGATTAACCGAAGCTAAACGATCGAATTTGGCTGGTTAATATAAACGGCGATTAATGAAAATTAACTCGTCGTTAAAATGAGGTGGAACGTGCAACTGATAACCGATGATTAGCATTCAAGTGGGAAATAGGATCTTAAGAGAACGTACTCTCGTTACGCATGTTCAAGATAGGGCTGAAACTTCGATTTCAATTATTCCCTGCTTCGAAAAATCCCGTGGAACGTAGAAAATTCTGATCTCTTCCTCTTCTCAACATCCTTTTCCAGTTCTCCGTCTCGTAGGAAATGAATTCCAAGGATGTCTACTCGGAAACGTAGCCATGGAAGGACAGTCGTCCTTAGAGACAAATTCCACGGAAGCAGCATCGGAAAATCATTAGGAATTACGTAAAGTTCCATGGGAATTACCGAAGCTGCTTCTTGGGATAATTCGAAGACGACCCGGAGGTAAAAGCAGAGGGCAGAGGTCTTGAAGTCGAGAAATCACCAGCGTCGGAGTGAAATTTCGAGCTCCCCCACTTGGATCCCGATCTTTGGAGACGTTTTCCGCGGCATCGTTATCAACGGGTCACGGATCAAACGAGCGAATGCGGTTTGAAAGGATTAGACGCCAAAGGAGGCAAGAGAGGGTTGATGTTTACCGACTATATGATTGATATAATGATTATACTACACGTTTAGCAGAATCTTCCAGTGCCTAATTTTTTATCGTGAAGATCAAAGGCTTCTTTGAATTGTTGAAAAGAAACCGAGGAAACATTTCTGATGTTCAAAAGTCTCGAAAGCAAATTATGACAGGAAATTTGAATTAATGTTTTCTTTATGAGGTGAGGCAAGAGAGGGTTCATGTTTACCGACTACATGATTGATATAATGATTATATTAAATGGATAGAGATTATTTGGACTTGCAGCCGCAGGGATTAGGATCTTCCTTCTATTCATAGGTTCAGCAAATAGTAGGACATAATAGTGTTCGCCTTATAATTGGAACCCACTTAATCATTTATCATGTTCGAAAGATAAATTTTTCATGACGCTCGTCTGCACTTTTCGAACGAACAATGAATATTCGTGCTAGGAGACAACGGACATCTTCAGACAATGGTAATAATAATTGATAAGGAGAACGCGAAGAAAGGTCGAGCAAGACGCATAAAAGCTTCATGAACTTGGCATAACGAGGACAATATCCTAGTAAGGTGTCTTTTTAAAAGTTACGGTTAATAGACCTAACTCTCCAGAAGGTTCATATTTAATTCTAAGTCCACTCCGAAAGTCTTCTTGGTTTAAAATGGCTACGGCTTATTTGTTTTATACCTTCGAGTGACTAATGGAATCGCTGGGCATTTATTTGCGAGCATCCGGACTTTAAGGCTTCTACTTGCAATAAAAAGAGTTTGAAAAACGTTCAGACCTACGGACAGAGATTTAATGGACATAGCGAAATTGCATGCTAATCTCTTTCAACAGCTCGTACAAAAGAAACGTAGCAACGCGGAGCCATTATCAAGCTCCAGTTAATTGCGAGAATTTTAGGACAACTAATTAACATTTTAAAAAATTTACTATTGATGGGTTTAACTTAAAAAGAAAATAACACGTATTTATTAAATCGGTCTTTTGTACACTAAAAAGGGTTATACTTTTTCGAATCTTTAATTTTTAAGGCTAAGGGCAATATTTATGGTAAAAAGTGCGAAGAGACTACACGCTTGAAATAAATTCAAAATCAATCAAAGTTCGAATAAAGTGCTCTGAGTAAACACATTTTTATAACTGAAAAAGATATATTTTATTGACATAAATATGGTTACCTTAGCCATATGTAATTGAACGAGACAATTATGTTGTCAGAAAGAGAAAATGAATTATCTTTTTTGATAATTAAATGGGGTATCTTTTTTCAATTACCTTTTCGACATGAAGAGATATATGAAAAATGCCTAGTGTTACATTTTGCTAAATCTAGTAGAGTAGAAGATGTCTTTGTTTGGATGCCCGATAGAGGAAGTGGAAAACGGTCTATTTTGTTTAATAATTGAAATTGTAACCAAAATATATTTAATGTTATTCCAAAATTTGGTGAAATATGACTCCAACATAAACTCATAATTTTCACGATGGTGAAACTACTATGCCAATTAGTTTCCACGGGACCGAAAGATGGCATTAGCGTGGCTCTCTCGCAAGTGGTCCAAATAGTAATTAGTTCGTATATAATAAATTAATAATATATTGGTCTTTACGTTTAAGTCTTGATGCCATTCCTCTTCACTATTTCAAGTGCCCGCACTTCGAGTACACATCGAGAGGTAATAACTCTCCCTTCATAAAGGGAGGGTGATAGAACGAAGAAGAAATTATCGAAAACTACCCTCTGAAGTCGACGAAAAAGTATTGAATACAAGCCGACGAAAAGATGTCTCAATTTTGTCCTTGTCCAAAAGATGCCAAAATTCGATGCATAAGATATCCTTTCGTCTTCTTTTTGTCAACTATATGCCATAACCAAAAGATGACTTTTCGGAAAATTCGTCAACTTAAAAGCAAATTAGTACAGTAAAATAGGATTATAAATTTCTAAATAAATTTATAATTATATAAAATCACGTTATAATTTGGTGAAATCCTACAGAAAAATTAATACATTTATGCACCAAATTCATAATATATTACCTTATAAATTTAAGTTTGAATAAGACATCCAACAAAAATGTTACAAAACCACTATATCTTTTAACAGGATGAATTGTACATTATTCGATCTTTATGATACAGTTATGTATTCAATTAGACTTTGCTTTTCATTTAGCCTCGCAGGTGGAAAATGATATGCACTCTGAATAAAACTGCAAATTTTTTAATTTAACTTAATCGTTAGCAAAAATCTTTATAGAGAAATAAATCCTTTTCAATGGTAGCGTTACCACCAGCTATGAGATTTAGA